TCTGCATGGCTTCGACACTTTATCTGTTCCGCCTGCCTGTGGTTGAAACGATGCTTCCTAGATAAGTGAAGGAAGTAATCTCTTTCAAGTTTCTCCCGTTGATGGTAGTTGCCACAGGTTGTTCTTGTTGGTCGGTTGGTTGGTTATCTTCATCAACTCTGCCTTCTCTATGTTCACCTGGAGTCCTGTCTTCGCTGCCTGCTTCTTCAACCAGTTTGTTGATTTTCGCTGGCAAGTCTTCGAGTTTGTGTGACACTAAACATAGATCATCCACGCGCGAAATCCAGGTGTTCTAGAGTCTTCTTATCGATCGGTGCAGCGTATTCCTGTCTTCTCACTCCCGACGCATAGTTCAGCTCACCACAATTACGAATATCATTGGTGATAATGGGTAGCCAGCCTTGTCTTACTCATGTATTCACTTCAAAGGCTTCTCTAAGATTTCCACTGTGGATCGACTGACACGTGCTACTGTCATATAGCTGTTGAATGAGGTTGATAGAGATTTGGGCACTGCACTCCATAGTGTTGAAGCAGATTCCAAATTACTTCTAGGTCAACGTTGTTGAAGGCCTTTTCGAAGTCGATGAAGGGAGTCAACGTACAGGTCTGACTGCCATTCTATGCTCTGTTCGACGATGATGCGTAGAGTTGGAATTTGATCAGCACATGATTTGCCTTTCCTGAATCCGACTTGTACAGGTTGTCTTTCCTAGCATAATTCTTCACTTCTTTATTCAGTGAGATGTTGCATTCAACTCAGCTTCTTCTTCTGCCGTCCGTTTTTGCATTGGTTCATCTTCTGCTGCACCATCCTCCTCTCTTCTATTAGCTTTCAGGTGTCCGTAGAGAGCCATTCCTTGTCTTGGCTCTTCTTTTTTCCTAGAACGGTTGTACACGTTTCCTTGAACTTCACCCTCAGAGAGTTCCAATGTTCTCCCACACCGGTTTCCTCACTGATGATTCTACGTAGTGTCTCCGACTTTGCCCTGATAGCTGTAGTTAAGGTGTCCTTTGTAGTTTTGTCATTCAGTTTCTGAATGTTGAACTTGAATTGTGGCCTGTCTCCAGTTGTTTTCAGGGATTTCAGCTTCACCTTGAAGGTTCCTTGAACTAGATGATGGTGTGAGCCCACATCTGCTCCCCTTCTCGACTTTGTATCCGTCAGGCTGCATCTCCACTCCCTTGAGAGTGAAATGAAATCTATCTGGTTTGTGGTGTAACCATCAGGAGAAATCCATGTTGCTTTGTGTATATCCTGTGCTTGCACACGCTGCCTCCAGTGACCAAATCATTGAAGGCGCAAAAGTCTGCGAAGACTTCTCCCCTATCATTCGTCTCACCGAGAGCCTGTCGACCCATGATGAGTTCTCTCCCTGTATTGTCTGCTCCCAGTTTGGCGTTGATACTGCCCATAAGAATTTTGATGTCTCCATTTAGGATGTTGTCCACTATTGTTTGCAGTTGTTTATAGAAGTCTTCCCTTGTTCTGCGTTGTTTGTAGGTGCATAGCATTGGATAATTGTAACTCTCCTTGCTTTTGAGTTGAATCTTGCAGTCATAATCCTGTAGGAGGTTGGTTCTCACTGCGTAAGAGCTTTGGCTGCTGTTAGTGACATCATAATAAGCACTCAGTATGCTCGTGGTTGTCGTCTGGGTGACTATACCGGAGTAGATTGCTGAATCCCTAGTTGACAGTCCGGATGTGTCCATTCTTATTTATACTTTCATCGCAAGAAGACACATCATCTGACTGGATTTCGGGAGGTTTTCACTAACCAGAGTCATATCACCTCTCCGATTCCAGAGAAAAATAAGTTTGTTGTTTATAATTTTTGTGTTTTCTAACATTATTTTGTGCGTTGAAGTTTCTGCAGCAGTTTGATTGGTTTACTGAGGTAGGGTTACTAGCCCGACGCCCAACCCTCCCTCTTTCCCTGTGCTTGGAACCGGCTAGAAACTAGTGAGCTAGTAAACTAGGTGAAGTTTGTCACCAGTATACAGTATAGGCAAATGTCTAATCCCGCAAATATGTTCAAGTTTAACTTACTATCTGGTTGATGGTTGCCGATAATGGAATCGGGGTTGTTAGTTTCTTGCAATCTGGGACTAATCATCTAGATATCCCTGCATTTTATCAGTCAACTTGATAATTCTAGAATTCATAATTAACTTAGATTGCTGAGGGTTAATGAAGTAGAATAAAATTAATGTCTTATGAAAATTGGGTTGGATCCGCTTTGGAATGAATCGAATTCCTGCAAAATTCGATTAGTTATTATCATTTGTAATAAATTACCTAAGATTACATTATTTTCAGGAAAATGGTTGACCCTGATTAGCTATTGCAATGTAAAATAAGTAATTGGGAACATACTCACGAGCGCACATACACCTGTTAATTCTTATGAAGTAGAGAGAACAAACTTTTGACGCTGTCAGTCATTCTTATTGTCGGGGTAACTTTTCTGTTTATTATTCATTATCAACAAGGAAGAGTTAAAAATACGTTTCATATGATTGTTTCATTCAACTGACTATAAATAAATAACTGTTGAATCTTAATATATATATATATATATATATATATATATATATATATGGGTTTACAATAATGTACGAAATTTGGCTAACTTTCAAATTAATTTAGTTTAAAAGATTATTTTATACTGTGATTGAACACTAGTTCGTAGCGAGTATCATTCGTCTAGTCCTTTTTTGGTGCAGACCTAATTCTATAAGTCAATTTTGCAATCGTTGAATGGTAACGTCTCAGACTTCAGCACTAGTTTACACAGGTGTATGAGTTCTTTTTAGATTTTACATACGCCTTGCTGATTGATGAGTGCTAACAAGCACGAAACCTAGATCAAAAGCTTCTTGTCGATTGGTTCCAACCACCTAATAACAACAATTCAGTTTATTTCATGTTTCTTCGTATAATTTTCTCTTTGAATTATCTTGCTGTCCGTCCCCTAAAGTAATACATCAAAATTATACTAGTCGAACGGTTGTGTGTTACTCAATAAGAAATATCAAACTTGATGTGTAGGAGAAATGAACATAGGCACGGAAATCAACTTTAAGGTATATGATTATGTAATACACTTGTACAGTTAATCTGTTGAAGTTCCCAACAGCACATTTCAAAATTAGTAGTCTGTAAGATATTGATAATTATGGCTGCTTGTGGTAACTGAGCTGTCAAAAGTTACCTCGTTCCACCAAACAAGTATTTTTCCCAACTATGTTAATCAATAAAAGATGTCCTGAAATTCTATTACCTTCCCTGGAGCATTTCTAGAAAAAATTGAAATTTATCGTCTTTTCCACAAATTCCACTGTTAATACCATAGTAGATAGCAACTGACAGTGAAAGGTTGAAACATAAATCAAATGATATCCTCCTGAATTAACTAGCACAAATAGTACATCTTATGGTTACTACTTTGGATTTTCTTTGTAAAAATGTGGATTTTTCGCAATAATGAAAATGATCAAAATTTCATTTTGGAATAATATCAGAGTTTGGAACAAAGCGAATATTATAAATAGTAATATTCAGTTTTTTTCAGAACAAAGTCGTAAAATACTAATACTGCTAATACTGTTAATGCTTTAACTTCAGAACACTTGTGATAAACTCAGAATTACAGATTTTCAAAGGAATCGTGAAGTGTAATCTTTAAATGTATAGAAGTGCATCTATGTTTGAATACTAAATTTAAGAATAAAAGTTCCACAACCAGATTTTCTCAATTGACTTATAATTTGAAATTTGTTTGATTCTTAGATTAGTCCAAACCAAAGGAAGATGTTAACATTATTATCTTTTTCTAATACCTCTCCTAAATTAGGCTTAATCATTATTGATATAGGAAAATACACTAAAGTCATGATTTCACTTGTAAAACTTCGTATTACTCTTGTGTCCGATTTCATTGCAGAAGTTTCTTTTTAAATATTAATGATATCACATTAACTGTCAGACAAAAATCCTTTTACTCTAGCCAAAAAAGTGTATTTAAGATTATAAAGATATCATGCTTGCAGCTTAGTTTGTCCATTTCATGTTTTTGTTATAACAGAGGTTAAATATTCTACTTCATTCCGTCATATTTCATTAGAGCTAAATATTTATGATAATTACAATTAATTATAGTTTTATTATCCATTAAGCCACGATGTACACATGACTAAACTATTTGACCTATCAAAGCGTTTAAACATTTTATGTTTATGACGCAGTGGTAACTATTTCGTAAGTGTTTATGTCTGAAAATGTTTTTTAAACTTTAGCGGATATTTTCAAGGAAACATTGTTGTGATTATATTATTTTACATCGCGTTACTGCGTACATAGTGTGTAAGAGAGAGAGAGAGAGAAAGAAAGATAGCATGGGACTGACTGAGTTACTTGTAAGCTTATTCAAGCACTATTTTTTAAACATGAACTGATTAAATATCTGGCATATGTCAAATCCTATCTTCACAAATCAAGCTTCAGCTGATATTCTGAAAATGACATTAGTAATATATGTTTATTATTCTCTCGTTTTCCTCCTTGAAATCTAGTGAAAATTGTAATGGTGAAAGTATCTCTGTTTTATATCATTAGTTGTCTAAACAGGACTTAGAAACGTCATCTTTGCTATGTGTAATATTACTGACTGAATTGGTTAGTGTTAGTGTTTCATACTGAACAAAAGAGTTATCAATCCGTTTCAATGTTTTATGAAATACATTTATTCATTTTTCCACCTTGAGTTTACCGAGTATTGATTGTATAATCCTTCTCTTTATATGAAATTTCTATTCTACACAGTTTAAATGCACATCATTGTATTTAACTGTACTACTTGTTAACATCATGCTTGCTTGTCATTCCAATATCGTATGAATAATTATCACTGTCTGATGTGTTACTACCATGCTTTGAATTACAGATGTAATAAAGCAAATGGTTACTTGTTTTGCTTTCCTCTATATTTTATATTTAGAATAACCTAAAAATTGGTATTGTCAATGTCGGTGCACCAGCCTGTGGTGTAAATGCTGTGATGAGAGGATTTGCTCGTTTGGGTATCACTAAAGGTTATACTATACTTGGTATACATGAAGGATTTTCTGGTTTGGTCAATGGTGTAGTAACTGAAATACAATGGTGTGATGTACGTGGATGGGTCGCTCTCGGTGGTTCTGCTCTAGGAACACGCAGGTTATTTGTACTACCTTTTATAATGCACTGTGTAATTAAATTAACCTTAACATACGTAAAAGCGAATAATAATTGCTTGCCATTTCTACATGTACTCAGAACTCATCAACAACATCGGTCGATAAAACCATTTGTCTACAGAAAGTTTACATGGACGGGACAGTATTTAAATTATCATAGTTTCTGTCCACTACAGTTTAAAAGAGTGTTGGTCAATTGTTTTTTCAGACGCGTTCACCATATATGTACAGCCGATACCAAAGAAGAAGAAACACAACACCTCACAGAAATATTGTTAGATCACAATTGTCCGTTGAAATTAACTAAGCGTTACGGAAGTGTAAAACAGAGAGCTCTACCGATCCAGTCAGATCCGAAAAAATATGTTTATATGTCCTTGCCATTCAGCGGCGATCAACAATGGCTGATCACTAAACAAAGACAGAAGGCGGCAATTAATAGAACTTACTGTGCAACCAAACTTATTTTCATAGAGAAGACGAGATCGATGCTGTCTTGTAAACCCGCACAGCATCCGAACGATAGTGTTATATCCCACTGTGCTTACCAATTTACATGTATGTGTGGAGACACGTACATAGGGAGGTCTCATCGGTCTCTGCTGGTTAGGGCTACAGAACATATTCCAAGGGGGCTACAACAACAACAAATAAAATCACCAGGTACAACGGATCCCGGAAACAGATGTCCAACATCTATAGCGAAACATATTATAGAGACGAGTCATAAGGTTGATTTCAATAATGCCTTTAAACCCATACACAAAACAAGGTTGCGTCACATACTTAAATTTGTTGAAGCTTTGACCGTATGAAGGTCTAAGCCTGTCTTATGTATCCAAAAATTATTTGTTATTACTTTGAACCTGCCTTGGTAATCCATTTCACAGCCAAGGTTCGATTTACTTAATGATATTTTCACTTTCTTCCTTCTCTTTTTCTTACCCCACATCCTCACGTCATCTTCCTACTCCTAATTTGTAACCTTGACATGTACACAATTTGACCTGTATTGTAATGATTCATGCGATCTTGCCTTCTATATATATGTGTATGACAATTTCTTGTGTAGTCATAATGTCTGAAACGTTTTGCACGTTTCAGATAAACTACGTCCTCTTATTGTGTTGTCGAAATTCATAAAGGTAACCAATTGCTTGAAATTAGCCTAGTTCTTTAGTGTGAAATTATAAGCTACTCTCAAAATGTTAGTAGTAAAATCTAATCGGGCGGTTTGTTGCTGTCGTATTTGGATAGTATTATTAGAAGACGAAGATAACCTGAAAAAAGGTTTTTTTAACCGATACGTTTCGAACAGTCTGTTCACATATTTACCTGTCGAATCAGTTTATTTTAAAAACAAAATGCCAATTAAAATAAACAAAATGATAAGGAATTTAATAAGAATAGATAACACTACTCTTGGTAATGTAATCAGATAAGGATTGTGCAGGTTAGGTTAAGAGAAATAATTAATTGTCTTTGTACTCACAGGCGGATGGAGCTTAAATTTATGATGTGACAACTATTACTCTATTTTTTTAATTTGGAATTCATATCCTTTAGTTAATGGTAGTTCATTCAACGTTTCACAGTGATTCTATTTCGATAATCATTTTGTATTAAATGAATGCAGGAGTTGTTTTTTTATATTTTTTTCTTTCTATTTCCTGTTATTATGTAAAAAATCGAAGTAATCTTTTTGTCTTTCTTTCTTTATTTGTCTAGAGATACACCAAATTCTTTAGGCATTGATAAAGTTGCCAGTAGATTTAAACAATATAATCTAAGTGGTTTACTTGTTATCGGCGGTTTTGAGGCATATGAATGCATGATACAGTTAGCTGAAGGACGTGATAAACATCCAGAACTGTGTATACCTATAGCTATGGTACCAGCTACAATATCTAACAATGTACCGGGTACTGATTTCTCTTTAGGCTGTGATACAGCCTTGAATGAAATATGTTCAGTAAGTAGTCATAAATTTAGGTTTATGGTTTTACTATATTTTTTTCTCATTCGTATTAGTATAACTAAATCAAAGATTATTCCACTCTTCGGTTTTAATATAACTGGTTAATTTTTAAGTATGAAATTAAAACAATAGTTGTGACAGATTGTGAACCAACAGTTCACATGTTATTAAGCTTTCTAATTCAATAGGACCTGAATTTCAGACGAAAAGATATCAACTACTGGGTAGCTAGTGTCATAATACTAAACATAGGATTTAATATCACGTATGTTTTATGTGCCAATACAATGCAGTCAACAACGATTGAAATAATATTTACGACTAAACTATAGTCCGACTGTATGTATAACTTTGATGGTGAAGGTTGTTGATGAGTGAAAGAATTATCGTTTATATTACGAATTGATTTAAATTGTTCATTCCGGCGACAAATTTGAATAAAGAAGAAGAGTAAAGTGAATTATATGGTAGTAAGACAAACTGAGTTAATCTTGTTTTGGAAAACTGACGTAGTTTGTTGGTGATAATTGAGGGGGAGACAGAAGCATGAGTCACAACAAGATTTGAACCACGGGTCTCGGATGTACTAGCTGAGATATGAGACCCGGTTATGTGAATTTATTTGACTTAAGCGTTTTTTGTTGCCTAAACTAAGTTTTGTTGACAGGATCGTGTCACTGAAAATGAGAAGTAATCATAGTAACAGAATAACACAACCAAAACAAACTAATACAAATTGTAAGAACACTGTCAGTGGCAAATGGATTACTTGAAGAATGATTTACCGAATACTTTTAAAAGATATATTTATAAGTGGTTGGAGGCAGGAAGCAAATAAAATTGAACATAATCTAACTAATTTAGAAACTGATTGGGGCCAAGTTGTGAAAAGCACATAAGTGATAGGCTGAATGAAAGGAGAAAGTCAAGATATAGAAACAGATTTCTTTTAAATTTACTTAATGAAGTGAATTCGTTGAATTCTTCATACATAAGGACTAGACGCATGACACTGGTTACTTTCTAATGACCGACCAATGTAATTATGGAATTCATGATCAGTTAATTTGTGGAGGCTAACAACAAGTTTTTACATAATCAATAATTTGTAGAATAAGAAGGACAGATGAATGCATTACGTAAGGAAATCAAGATACAAATAGGTTGATTAAATTAACTAGAATAGTAATAGAGGTTAATCACACTCTCACTACCTTGGTAACTGAATTTTGTTTTTGATTAGTCATCAGTGATCTCAACTCACTGAGCAAATCTCAATCTTATAAACTGTAAATGCTTTTGTTTTTTGGAGTTGCCATGTGAACCTACAAGCTAACACTGTTTCTGTTAATCAATTTTTTCTATTTTCTGTCTTACCCCTACCCCCTCTTTTCAACTCTGAAAGTGTATAAATTGATGATGATAACTTAAACTAAAAATTGTAATGCTTTCATTCTTTTTTGGATGCGTCAATTTTATCTCTTCTCTACTACTACTCAAACATTAAAGTATGTTATTATCATTTATATAACCATTGTAATTTCAGGTAGTCTGCAGCTGATGAGAACCTGTGAAATAGAATGATATCATTTTATACTGCAAATTTCGTCTTCCTTTCTTTATAGATTTAGATAGGCGTAATTTATTGAGGTGAATACTTGGATTTAATTTAAATAATGATAATATACAAAGTTATAAATATTCAAAAGTTGTATTTGAAAGAACTTAATAGGTACATTTGCAAATGAAATCATTAAGAAGGATATGCTACTATTAGTATTACTATTGTCTAACAGTGGTATTCATGATTATTAAGATTACAACAAGATTAAAGAATTCTTGCATGCATTAATTATTAAATCTCAGTTCCTTTGAACAGACTACTTATGTACCAAGGTGTCAGCTGCACAATTATTTTCTGAGGGTTGCTATTACTACCTATTTGTCCGGATGTGAAATAGGTAGATTGATATTTGAACCCTAGTATCCATTGTCTGAAAGTAAAGTGCTTAAGCCAATGAGTCACCGTCCTCGAAAGTAATGTATGGATCAACAGCATGTAACCTATCACCTTATAATTCAATAGTAATAAGAATTCGTTCAGTATTACTGTCTAACTCTATTTTATTTAAACCGAATCTCAGTTGGATTATTCGAAGATAAAATATTACTGACGTAATATAGTATTAATCACAATATCTATACCCTTTAAGATTCACTAACTAAACGTGTTAAAGCATGATAGGACATTCCAACGTTGGCAAATGATAGAAGTTTTTTCTAAATATCTACAACTTTGTATTAATCATATGATTTTAGCACATGCTTTTGATTTTATAGAATTGTGTAATTTGCAAATGATCAGTTTGCATAATTAGCCAGCGGGAATTCCAGTGTTTTAAACTGCTTCAGCTGTCTAAGCTGAGTACAATGTGGCACCTCCCTGATGAACTCAGCTCTGAACAAAGAAATTAGCCGTCCGGTGTTTAGATCACTTCACAATCTGGTTAACAAGCACTACTGTTTAACGTGACTGGTTTTCAAATACTCATATCAGTCAGAGTAGTATACACTATTTTTCTATACCATAATTATGTTTAGACTGATTAAGGTATCGCTTTATTTTCATAACTATTCAAAGAGTGAGTTTTTATTTTCTTATTTTTTTCTTTACTAAAGATTTTAGATAAAATTAAACAAAGCGCTTTAGGTACAAAACGTCGTGTATTTGTTGTCGAGACAATGGGTGGTTATTGTGGTTATTTAGCTACAATGAGCGCCTTAGCTGGTGGCGCTGATGCTGCTTATATCTATGAAGAACCATTTACAATTGATGATTTACGCGAAGATGTTGTACATTTACGTGCTAAAATAGCCGATAATGTTCAGCGTGGGTTAGTCCTAAGAGCTGAATATGCTAATAAAAATTATACAAGTGAATTTATTCATCAATTATATGCAGAAGAAGGCAAAGGTATATTTGACTGTCGGTAAGTATATACAACAATGTAATGATTATTCAAATCACATCCAAAATTATACTTATCCATCTTGTACAAATAACAACTCCCTATTTTTCTCAAATCGAACAAAGACGTTGCTATTGATGTATTTGTTCCATATTTAAATTGGATGAACTGAATAACTTTAAGAGTTCGTCAACAGTACCATTTTCATTGAGATCTTGTTCAGTCTCTACACCTATAATAATAGACCGTGATGGTAACCTTTGGGCAGGGACGTGTTACAAATTATACAGGCAATAATAATAATATGTTTCGCAATGGAGTAGTCAGGTCATCTATTTTCACCATTATTGGGTTCAGGGGATTCGATTCGCTTCTGATTCCATTTAGAGATATTATCTGAAGTCCCTTCCTGCAGAGATCGATGAGTCCTCTCTAAGGTATATTTAAATTGTCAGATACAGTAGGATTCGATATCACTTTTTGCATGCTCTAATGGGCTTGAATGGCTATTTAAACTTCAGATTTTCAATTATCTAGATCTTAGATGCATAAATTGTCTTTTTGGCCGCAGCGTCCAATAACATTGATAATAAACACAATATGATAATGTCAATATTTTGCTTGATTAATAAATTAGGTCAAGATCTCATCATTGACCTACAAATCATCATCGTTAGTTAAAATTTCATACACATTAAATGCTGTGTATACTTAGAATAACAGCTGAGAAAGATCTAATTTAAAAAAAAAAGAAAATCATAATGTTTGCTTGTATTTCTCACTACAATTTCAACAATAATGTTAAAGTATTGTTCAAACTCAGGTTGATGAATAACTTTTAGAAAGTATGTACATATTCTTTCTTTTAAAACTTTCACTGTCACTTTTTTTAGCCAACTTATGTTCAATTTTCCATGCCTACTATTATTATATTTTTATCAGTATAAAATTTACTATGGGTGCATACTGATCTATTTTGTAATAGATTATATTAAAGTCTAAATTAAAGTAAAATAACTTAATGTTACGGAATACTGTAATACAAAAATAATAAAGCAGTTGAGCAAATGTGATATATCAGTTAAAATGAAGGTGAACTCAAAGTGATTGCAGACGATTTCATACGTTATGTGTCACTTTAGGTTCCGGTGGTTGGTCTTACGTACTCTGAATGAGCAATTCACACTACCATTAGTCAATGACTTAATACACCGGTGAAACGTCTTATTCCCTACTCCTGAAAAATTAGCGTTTTGGAATAGATAGTGAGTATGTAGGCTTTATGCGTGTTCCAGTCGCCTGATGCAAGAGAGTGTGACATTGTCACTTGACTTATCTGCTTATCTTTTACTCAACTTTTAGATCCATTAAAAGGAGACAGTGTTGTCAAGGCTATAATGGTGAAATACTTGAAGCTTTCTTGGTCTTGTAATTTCATTGTATTCAATTACACCCCATAAAATACATCTTAAAGTTAAAGAAATTATATTACATTCAGAAATTTCTTCACTGTGAAATGAAATTGATAAAAGCTTTCTAAAACTTTGCTCCATAATTACTTTTGATGTCATGTGGAAAAAATGTGTATATACTAATTATTTCTCTACTGTTTTATTTCCCTAAATTTTCAGTTGTAACATATTAGGTCATATGCAGCAAGGCAATAGTCCAAGTCCATTTGATCGAAACCTTGGGACTAAATTCGCTTCGAAAGCAATTGACTGGTTAAATGATCAAATTAATGCAAATATACGTTCAGATGGTAAATTTAAATTTTTGATTATAGCTTGATTCCACACAGTATTTCGGTACAAGTATGGAATTTTTAGCATGTGATATCGATAGCCCAAATTTAGCAGGCTGACCATTGATATCAGGTGTGTGTCGGCCGGGGATCGAACCCTAGACCATGTACATGGTCGGTGGGCGTCATGACCGCAATCCCACGGACACATTGGGGCTTTTAATGTTGTCATCTTCGTCATCACATTCAATTTAAATTGTACACCATTACAAATTCATAGTAAACATCAAGGTGAGAATATTTTCAAGAAATATTAGTATAGAATATAGAATACCTCAACGTTTGCTCTCTGACTTGTATAATTTATTGACATGTTACGTAATAATTGATAATAATTGCTACTATTTCTTATACCCTAACTTCTGAGCCTGACTATACATCAATTTCTAAGACTCCCCAGCTTCTTGAGGTAAAAGTAATTCCGATAGGCCATAAACTATGGGTAGTAGTGTAAGGATGACAAGACCGATGAGGCTAGAATGGAAATTGGTCGAATATCACCACATTCGATAGCCTGTTAAGTTCTGCACAGTGTTTCTAACGTTCTTTTCACAGTTCTGTTGTTCGTTTGCTTTTTCCAATGTCGGAAACATATTGTTGCTTTTCTGAATTCGTTTACTGACCTACTACTTATGTCTGATTACAAGTAGCACTCACTACAGTAGGATCTCTAAAACATGATAACCTTGATTCTTAGGACAATTATTTTACTATTCTGAATTCGCCCTTTCTTTATTCTTGATAACATCGAAACCCTCTGTACTTTCTTTTGTTGTAGATCAAATTTTCTTTGAATAATAATGGACCACCAGCATATAAATTACTTTATTAATTTTACTAAAACAGGTATAGAATGCAATGAGTTCCGAGAATTTCTTCGTCTTATTGAAGTCAGAAAGGATTTTTAGTAATAATGGATGTCCTCAAGACTTAAAATAGCTTAGGAAGTATAAGTGGGAAATCTCGTATATATTCAAGGTCTATTCACTTATCGAATTTACAGAAACCAACATAAATATATTAGGATTGGTTGTCTTATAAAGTTCTTCTGGTTATATTTACACTATTACTACGTTTCGGTTCATTTATTTTAAGTGTGCTAACTTACTTGTCGTTTTAGAGGAGAAACAGCTGACTACCGCCATATATTCGTACAATGGCTTCACCCTCAGACCATTTATGTAGTGTGAGCGACTATCCGTACTTGGGCAACACCAGCCTCAAATACAGAGAAACACATTATCTCACTTGCCGGTGGCCAACACCAAGCCAAAAGTAAATATAATTTGACAACTTTATCGTATGTTTTGACAAGAAAAATCGGCTGAGGATTGCCTTTCCATCTAAAATATGTATGACAGCAGCACTTATCCTTAGGAAGCCTGAAACTTCTATCGAGTGTGCTGTAGAAACAGTAGCGAAGGTAGTTGGGAACCTAATTCTTAAGGTTTTTTTATTCCTTTACGTTAGCAGTGGGACATAGGGCTACAACCTAGAGATAAAAGAGTGAGTCGGTCGGAGATCGAACCCCGGACCACATGCATGGTCGGAAAGCATTCTACTGCTGCTCCACCGACGCTGACATCTTAAGCTTAGTAAAAGGTAATGGATTTCCCCAGCTTCTTCAGAACCCATAGGTGCAAAGACATTGATCTCGATGAGCTTCAAACATAACGAAGAACGAAACCTGTTCAAAAATAGGCTAACTAGAAGTCTTCGCAGCAATCACCGACAGTAGTAGGTGACACAGCTGATAGAAATGGCAAAGGCATCAGCAGTAGGTAACACCTTTTAATCATTTAGGTTCAGAATAGGAAAAGGGTCTAAATAATCTCTTAGTAAACTGAGAGATATCCAAGAAGTGTGTACCTTTAAGAGCGGCTAGCATATTGTGCAGAGCATTACAAGAAGCATGTCAACTAGCCTGCTACGGTCGCTTATTATTAAGCGCCTACGTGGTTGGAAAGTAACCGATGATAAAAAAGTCCAATCCAAAAGGAAACAAAGGAGTAGTGTGCGATATGTGAACCCAGAAGTGAAGAGGTATTGATTCGATTACCTGATGCAGTTCCCTTTTGTCAAATATACGATTATATTGCAGGAGTGACCTTCACTTATTCCATGTTTAGAGGTAGAAAGTGAAATGGTTAAATATGGTGATCACTCCATTCATCTGGAAAGTTCCATTAGACCTAATAGACCGACTCCTGACAAAATCCCAGGCTTCTATCATCTTTGGCGTCCATGTGATATCTGACATTCCACAAAATGTACTGTGTAATGCACTGCAACTCACTTTTTCCTAAGTTATGCCTGTGAAACATGAGGAATGAAAGTAGGAGATACAAAATGTCAAAGGTTTTTAACCTCAGATGTGTTTATTTAATTGTTCTCGTTGGAAGGGTTATTCTGATAAGTAATGAAAGAGGTTAAAAGTAGTGTTAAGTAGGGAGGGCATTTCATTTGATTGATGATCCTATCGAAACCACCATTATGACATTTAGAGGAAACAGATACTTGACTCCATTTGACGACGTCGTTTATCCCGATTGCATAATCAGTCTTATGAATGTGTCTAACAGTTTTTTTATTTGAAAGATATTAGTAACAATCGAAATAAATGGAAAGTTGTGAAGAATAGTGCACATATCAACCAGAATATAGCAATGTGAATATTTTTTACTTAGGAAAAAGTGTCTAAATCTTTTCTGTATTTCCTTTTTCGTCATACAGGTACTGTTTATACTCCTGGGCATTTATGTTGTACTCTAATTGGTATAGTACGTCGACAGACAACATACTCAAATATTATGGAATTGAAAGATCACACAGATTTCAAGTAATTTTTATTCATTTATTTCTTCAAAACTGTTTTCGCTGAACGAAAATATTCCTTATTGAACGGAATTTCACACACAATTTGTAGTTAAGCTTCGGAATTGCGTAATACTTACATAATAGAGCAGGAGGTGGGGAAATAATAATTGAAGGTGGAATGACATTGTGGATCGTAGTATTGTGCGAACTAATTATTGTACACTTTTTCCGACTGGATAAGCTTATTCAACACAGTATAAACAAAAACATTATTTGGATAATATTTCGACTACAATTTCCTGCATGTATGCAATAACAAAGTGAAATGACATGATATGATTATGAGAAACAAAGCGTGATCGTGATGCCTTTTATCTAATAATAATAATAATAGTGATTTTTGCTAGATTCTTGGAAACAATCACCTAGAAGCCCTGGACCGAGGTTTTGGGCTTGTTGGCTCTCCTCAGCAAGGGGTATCTGCACTCTTGAATGGACTCATACTCCTTCTAAGGTCTGAACCCCGGTCACTCAGACACGTTACTACTGATCTATTCGGGCTCAGCATGAGGTGATTTTACATACCAGAGAGCTACATGATTTCCTACCAACAGCCTACAACTATCCGTCTAACAACAATTCAAAATGTACCGTGATGGTGAGCCACGTAGCATGGTAACTACATTGCAAACTTGACTGCCAAAATTCGTTCTGGACCAAATGAAGGACTAGACGCATGATATTATTTACTTACTACCTAGTGTCCAATAAAAATAATAATAATATCTCAATGCATGTCAGATCGAGTTAACTTATCTAATATGGAATTATACTGTATCATTTTGTTCAGTAATGATATCGATGATTGCATAATTCCAAGAAGAATCAACAAATATATAAAACTCTCAATATAATAAAAGCTCTGTCAATGAGAAACCTTGATTTCAAAAACTTTTATGTCTAGTTAACTTTTACACACAATGTATGAGGTGCTGCTACGTAAGTAGACGGCTACATGGTCTTTGTACTATCCATATTAATATACAGTAATGAAAAGTTGAATAGCTAAAGATTAAGTGAACTATACCTAGAAGTTTGAATCAGTTTTAATTTATTGAACAAAGAGGAATAGTACTTATCTCTATCAGTTGGAATTCACTGAAGTGTTAGGACTAAAGATGATACTATTCGGTAAACTAATTCATACCTTTAATTATTACTGAGTTGACACTCATTGAATGAAAAAGTGAAGTTATGCGTCCTCTTTTAACCTGGTCACAATTTTATTATTTTTCCTTTCATAAAACAAATTTCTCATTCGATGAAATTGTTTTTAGGAGGTTCAGACCTTTAATCTTTACAATTAATATATAAATGTTATATTTTTATTTAGAAATTATTGTGCTTATTTGTGTTTGTATGCACACACAGATAAAAGAGACAGACAGCAGATATATATCTGCTGAAGAAGCTGTGGCTTACACAGCGAAACGTTCAGAAAAATCTTGTTTTGATTTTCTTAATACGCTGGGATTAATTTAAACAATTTATAATGAATCAATCTGACTCGGCGCTCAAATTATTCCAGGAAGTTCATAACACCTACGGCCTGGAAAACTATAATTTCAGTTTTATGTATGTTTGGATTGATCAGTGAATTGTACCTACAAATCTTATCAACCTGTATTATGTCTGACCCATCAACTTTGTCGTGGAATGCGTAGCTGAAGTTAATAACTTTACTTTCAAGCTACTAATGTTACCTGTGTTACTGAAGAATGCCTTTTAATACCATAGCAAGTAGAATATTAGCGTCCCTGTAAATGTAATGAATGACAAAGAATTAATTTTAGTTATCTCTCTACACGTATTTGTATCACTATTGATTGTGAGTGTGCTTCTTCGGTGTTTAAGGATTAGATGTGGTATTATTTCGTAACACTTGACCAGATCTACCAGAACGGACGCGTACTGGTACCCACTTAATTAGAAGCTTACCGAACTCGTACATACTGAAAGTGTAACATAAAACTAAAAATGCTAAATTATTCCGGAAAATGCTTGCAAGGGCAATATTATTTAAATAAGGTAAAGGTAGAGGTATTTTTCACAGGGAAAGTTTATTTGGCTAATATGGCTGACCTAGAGACTCGGAGGGTGTGTGTGCATGAACCGATACAAATAAGGCGTGAAGTAGCGCCAGACCGTGATCGCATGCAGGTTGTAACAAAACTTTAAAAACTTAAGCATCCAGAGGCACATTAGCAATTTACTTGGCTGATACACCGTTTTTGAGTGTTGGTTTGCAGGGATTTGATTGGTTTCAATATCAGTCATGAAGTGACTTCAGTTAAAGAACCACTGAAAACCATTAGGGAGTACTGGATAACTCCTTTGTTCTAGTTTGGAACTTTTCAGTAGTACGCACCCATGAACCTACTAGGGGTTGAATGCAGGACCTTCTGGTTACAAGGTGAACCCACTGACCACCCAGCCACCACTGAAGAGTTCCAAGCAAGGAAGAAATAGCTTTCTAGTATCCCCTATTTTTCAGTAGTTCTCTAACTGAAATCAGTTTGTGATCAATCTCGTAATATATAGTTATTTGAATATAATCTATCCTTTTAAACCCACTTGTATTTTGGTGCACGAGTTTATTTTAATGATGAGCTATTCTATAAATTACTCTTATTATTTATTAATTTGTTTCAATTTACAGACATCGTTTACCTAGAGAAGAGTGGTGGCTTAGTCTTCGTCCACTAATGCGTATTATGGCTAAACACGATAGTCTTTATGAGTCAGAAAGTATTATGGCTGGTACTGATAGAAAAGTTACAGAATAATAAATTTTTATTAGTTGATTGCTTGTTTAAGCTTACGTTTCAACCTTTCTCCCCTGATGAGATACTACTACTATTGTAATTGTTGTTATTATTATTTCTGATGATGCCAACAGATAATGATGATCCTATGATTATGATTATTCTTTAATTCTATTCGCCTACCATAATATTGAGTTAGATAGATCATGTATTTTCAAAAGTAATCAGCATAGAGCGAGTACTTTAGCACTTTACTGTCTGTTTATTTGGTTTTCGACGAAGAAAATTAACTTCTCTCCGTATCTATTTATTTGATAATCTCTCTACTTATTTTTACGATCAGTATAATTTTCCTTGCCTTTTTTTAACGTGAATATCGAACGGAAGATTCAAATATAACTAAAATATAATTATTTCTTATTAGATTTTCAGTATAAATGTTTGATTATGATTGAGAACACAACGTATTTTATTCTTGATGATTATTCTCTAACTGGTAGGTTTAGTTAGCCTTCAACTTCACGTTGCTTCATCCTGTTGTCATGATATTTACCCCTTTACTTAGTATACTGTTTATGTAGTAGACATGCCTACATGTAGATGTTTGCTTCAAATGTCTTTCCTCTTTGACATGTTATTATTTTCATTATTAAACGAGCTGTTAAATAGTGTTTCTATTACTATTATTCATTTCATCCTTACTCCTTTAAATTCTAATAATATTACCATTTATTACAGTTGAAAACAATCATTCAGAAAATCACTTCAATAATATATTTTTATTTTTCAGTAATGGATTTATTAATATTATTTGAAGAATTAGTGTGGCAATGAAGATAAGAGGTTTTCGTTGTTATTGTTAGGTAGTCAGAGACAGTCTACGGCGAAGTCGTCGCTTTAAGCTTCGTACACTCCTCAGATAGGCGTATTTGCGATGTGGATGGAACTGATAGTCACCTAAAAGTGCTCTTGTGCAAACCAGTGCTGCAGACAGAGATGTTATGGCTTAGCTATTCTAGTTAACGAATGACCACTTCCTATAAAACTGTGATGAATGCATCGCAAACTTGACTGGTAAGATTTAATTAGCACCAACACCAAGGATTAGACATAACAGTGTTTACATCCTAGAGACCAATTAATTTATGCGGTTATTTCAAAACACTTCAGAAACATTCCGGGGGGGGGTGTGAGGTGAAAAACGTAACAACTATTTTGGAAATGTGAGCTAAGGCGTCAAAAAGATCCTATGTCTTTGTCACTTTAAAAAACTAATTCAACAGTGTCATTTGTATAGTATGTGTGAATCAAGGAGTCTTCCGATTCGAAACCGGAATGAAACTTCTGTAATAACTATGAACTGACCTGTCGTAGGTATACATCAGCAACAGCTGCTATACTTGAGAAACTCGCACTTCAATGATTATCGAAAGTAATAACAAACAAAGGATAACTGGTGGCTACAAGGATATATTCTGATTTAGCTTCACAGAAAGTGGAACTGTTCAACATAAACACCTTTGTACACACAGAAACATAAATCTGAAATCAAAATTCAGAAATATCTATTACAAACGTCAATGATTCAAAAGGTTCACTCATATTTTCACCCGCTCCTACCAGAAAGAAGACTGGTGTTTCAAATCATGTTGCAATTCGGGCTTTGATTTTAGTTTTACTCATCACCCACCAAACAAATGAACTGATTACTGGCTATAAGCTGTAATGTGCAGTCAAGTATACAATATAACCACTAAGATAATTGCTACAAACTGTAATTTTAATATCAGATGTAAGGATTTCAGAGCCAGGTTTTCTGCTTGTTGGCACTCATTGCCTGGGTGTCATACATTGTCCAACAGCTTAAGGATAAAGTCAATTGTCTAAGGAATATGAATTCACTTAAAGAAGAATTTGCGTCAGATAATTCCCTCCAACAGTATGTCCACCTTATCGACCAATCTTGAAAGTCATGAAATATGAACAATTAATATCTATCGTTTCATACTTTCAAAATCAGCTCATCATATCTGCTTATAGCTTTTTTTCATTCTCTTCAACATTCCAATGGTCATATAATTATAAGTGAAAAAAGTCTGTGTGTGTACTAATTAATTAATATATTTCACATGAAAGCGGAATGAAAGCACACGATGTACATAAGAAGCATATGTATTTTAGATAATAATTTCAATGCAGGAATTAAAAAGTTATACGAGCCTTCTTTTTATTTGATTGGTTAAACAATACACAGAAGAATATGCATCCATGCAGACAGAAAAACAAAGCTGATCATTTTATTTTTCATGGCAATGGAAAAATTCTACATTAACTTTTTGCTGTATTCTTTATCTTGCATGCATTAAAACACTGAATATGTTCAATGCTCATTAATAATAATAATAATTCCGCATTCATAAAGGTGTAATTGAAAAGTGCAATCAATCACACCAGATTGCATATGATCATTCAGTAAATAATTAAGAAATAATAATAAAGAAACAAAATGAAAATAAAAAAGACAATTGCATATCAACACTAAAACAACAAAATCAATGTGACTAATATGGACGGTTATTATTATTAGTAGTAGTAGTATGACAATGAAAAGTGCAATTTACTGCATCTAAAACAAATCATTCACATATAATATAAATTAATAATTACGATAAAGACAAATTCTGAAATATTCTTCCCCATTATCAAGTATAAATGACTTATGAATTAATTGATCCTACTTGTACACAATGACAGTAACTGTTAGTATTAGTGTCAGTAAAACATGAATTAACAAAATTCCAAGTGGGATCTTCAATGCGAACCGATTCTCTTAACTAGGACAAGATACTAACAATGAAAAGACTATAACTGCAAGGGGAAGTTAAAATAGCCAAGAAGCGTGGATTTAAAACACATTGTGGAGGTGAAGAAGAAACCATCCCGTTTTTTAGATTTACCTTAGTTCTCTTTAATAAGCAAAATTAATAAATGAGATAATGATGAAATAAGTAAAGATATATGAAATATTATAATTGACAGATAAAAGTTATAGAACAATAGCTGAAATTACATCATCATTATCATTGGTGCTTGATTTATGTTTTTATCGGTGTAAGCATGTATGTGTGTATATGAGACTTAGCTTGTAGATATAAGTACCTATGTCAAAAGATTCATCATTATGAACGGAATTATCATTCACTTTGACTAGATAAGGCGAAAAAATCAAAGTGTAAAAGAAATGAAGTCTCAGCGACATTCTTTTCACCCTGATGAGAAAAAAGGAACAAACCCGACAAGCAGAATGATGGTAACACTATGGATGGTGAATAAGCCGGAAAAGAAAAACAGGTGAAAACCGGTTTGAATGTTTGCTTATTTATTTAAAAATTCTTATGCAGCATTATCATTGTCACCAGCAACACTTCGCGGAGACGCTTCCAGACCGTGATGTGCATTAGAAGAAATTATGTGTCCACTTGAGTCATACTGTCTACTTGACTGTGCATCAATATTAACACTATGCTCATCATACGCTTCAAGATTTTCAATATTTTCAACATGAGTTGAAGAATTACCAAAATGATGAGCATGACGTATCGCGTCATTTCCACTTATCATCTCTGATGCACTTATTACTGATTCACTCACAGATTGATTGTTAGTAGGCAGATCTGAGAATACAGAATGATTATCCGTTGTTGCAGCTGGATTGTTCTGATCTAAATATTATGAAAGAAGGAAATAAAATGGATATGTGTTATCACTGTGATTTTGAAAGTAGTATAATATTTTCAAGAAAATACTCCTGTTACATAAAAATAGAGTAATTTTCATATGTGAACTACTATCAAAATGAAAGGAGAAATTTCTCGTATCTGCCTACCTCACTCCTAAAGGTTGGCTATCTAGTGGATACCAATTCATTTAGACTATACTGAAATCAGCGAAATTCCCCTAAACTAACATATATATATATATATATATATATATATATATCTGAAATGGAAACACCTCAAAATGGTTTTCCCTATTCCAAACAAACAAAAGTTGACGATCACAGAAGTACAAAAGAAAAAGAAAGGTGAATTCTATATCCATCCTGCTCTGTAAACATACGGTGTTTATAACAAGCTGGAAGTCAAAATTCATTTAAGTTTCAGGAGAATTTTCAGGTTTTACATTCATATTAATATCCACAATTTCATCTACAGGTTGATAAAAACAGAGCTATGAGTCGGATGAGTTCATTTCTCACATAAACACACAGAATAATGTTCGTAAGCTATCGGAATCTACCTGGAATAGCCCAGTCTGTTTGTTCAGAAAGAATTTATGCAACCGCTTTCTTTACTTATGCCATTTTCATACGAATTTGAAAACTGACAATTTTCTCGCCCTTCTCATACCACCTACAAGTTATTATTATCATTAGTTTAACTACCTTACTAATCCTAATTTTTAACACCAATGTCACGTCGCAGTTTCTATATGCTTCACAGACTTGGCGCGTCACAGAAAGCATTAACAACGGGCAACTGCAGGAATTCATCAACAGCTACTTCACTCAGATGACCAGCTGGAAAAGGACTCCAGCGACTAACCAACCAAGAACATACTGTCCAACAAATGTGCGGAAGCAAATGTAGACGGACTGGATATACGCGCTAGGCGGTCGAAAGGAACTCCATCGGAAGTGACGAGTTGGGCGTTGCTCCAAGAGTGACATGGAAGATATCCTGTGAGGAGGAAGTAAAAGCTTATCGGCCATCATGGGGACACCTAAAAAAGACTGTAAGACACATAGTGAAAAGGAGAAGTGATATTCCACTAAAAACCCTAGGGAATAATAATTATTCTGCCTACTTGACTATTTAATTGTTCTCAATTAGTTGGTGCTAATGACGTCACCACTCATTTATTATTATTATTATTTCCTTTAATTCCTAGAGGAACATAGGGCTTCAACCGTGCGTCTCCATTGCCTTCGGTTCTCTGCTAGGGTCTTCACCTGGCTCCAAGTCTGCCCACACGTTTTCATCTCCTCTTCACATGACCTCCTTCAAGTCACCCTTGCACTGACGACCAACTCGCCGCTTCCCTTTCGGGTTCCACTCGAGCAATGGCTTGTCTAGTGATGTCACTTGATGGTTTCCTCAGAGTATGGCCAATCCATCTCCATTTCTTCCTGCCTATTTGTTTCATAATCGGTTCCTGGTTGGTTCGTTCCTAAAGATCCCTGTTGCTGATCTTTTCTGGCCATCTGATCTTGAGTATTGAGCGAAGACAACTGTTAATGAAAGTCTGTAGTTTGTTTGAGATGCTCTTTATGACGCACAGTGCAAGTCTCTGATCCGTATAGTAGCACTGACTTCACATTGGAGTTGAAAATCCGGATCTTATTTTTGATGCTGAGTGCTGTTGACCTCCAAGCAGACTTGAGAGTAATGAAAGCTTGTCTTGCTTTTCCGATTCTTGCTTTGATATCCTCGTCAGTTCCTTTCGCCTGTAGTTGAGACGATGCTTCCCAGGTAGGTAGGTAAAGGAGGTTGTTTCTTTCAGGTTCCTTCCATTTATGCTGATCGTTATCTGTTGTGGTTGTTCTTGTCCAGGAATCTTCATTACCTCTGTTTTATCTATGTTCACCTGAATTCATATCTTTCTTTGATGCTTCTTCTGCCAACTTGTTGCTTTTCATCCCTTGCATATCTTCTAGTTTGTCGGAAATCAGACATATATCATCGTCGAAGTCCAGATCCTCCAAGATTTTTGTGTGGGTCCATTTTATGCCCGTCTCCTCGTTGCCCGCTGTTTGTCTGTCGCATTATCCAGCCTACTGCAATCAAGAAAATCATTGCAGATAGTAGGCAGCCAGCCTTGTCTTACTCCTGTCCTTACTTCGAAGGGTTCCATAAGTTTCCCGTTGTGGATTACTTGGCATGCAGCATTGTCGTATAGCTGTTGGATGAGATGTATAATTGTCGGTGGCACACCGTAGTAGCGAAGTAGTTTCCAAATCACCTCTCGATCGACGCTGTCAAAGGCCTTTTCAAAGTCGATGAAGTTGAGATAGAGAGGTGACTGCCATTCCAGGCTTTGTTCAATGATGATCCGTAATGTGGCGATCTGATCAATGCATGACTTGTTTCTCCTGAATCCAGCCTGTTCCGGTCGAAGTTTTTCATCCAGGGTGTGTTTGATTCTCTCCAGGATAATACGGTTTAATATTTTGCTTGGGATAGACAGAAGCATAATTCCGCGCCAGTTCTTGCATTGACTTAGGTCTCCTTTCTTTGGAAGTTTGAATAAGTATCCTTTCTTCCAATCCTCGGGTACTTTGCCTTCTTTCCACACCTTCTCCAGTAGTGGCGTCATCAAGTCCGCTGTTGTCTCTGGGTCCGTTTTCCATGCTTCTGCTGGGATTCCATCTGGTCCTGCTGCTTTTCCAGCTTTTAGCATCTTGATTACCTTCAGGACTTCTGATTTCGTAGGGGGGTTGGTGTTCACTGGTAGCTCTGTCTCCGTTGTTGGTATTGTTGGGCGCGTTGTAGGTGGTGGTCGATTTAGGAGTCTTTTGAAGTGTTCAGCCCAGTGTTTCCTTTGCTCCACTTCTTTGTTGAGTGACTTTCCATTGTCATCCTTCACTGGCTTGATTTGTGTCAAACGTTTGCCCGATAGGTACCTAGTAGTCTGGTAGAGTGTTGCGAGGTCTCCTTTGCCTGCAGCTTGTTCTGCCTCACTTGCCATGGCTTCATAATATTTTTTTGTCTTCTCTGGCACTCTTCTTTACTCTTTTGTTCAGTGTTTTGTAGCTTGCGTTCAAATCCTGTTTTTGTTGCTCATCGGTGCACTGGATTATCTTTTGTTTCACCATCCCTCTCTCTTCTATCAGTCTCCAAGTGTCCGTAGTGAGCCATTGTTTGTCCTGTCTCTTCTTTCTGCCTAGAACTTCCATGCAGGTTTGACTCCACACTGTGTTCAAGTTGTTCCAGTGCTTTTCGACGCTGACCTCTTCGCCAGTGTTGATTTGTGTCTCGGCTTTGTCTTTTATGCTTGCAGTGAAGATTTCCTTTTTCCTTCTTATATTTCAACATTATTGTTATTATTCCCTTGGGTTCCGAGTGGAACGCAGGGCTTCAACAACACTCCTCCACTTTGTTCTATTTTCTGTCATATTCTTCAACTGGGTGTACTATTGCCTATAATCTCTCATCTCCTCCTTGTCACCATCGCACTGACGACCCACTCGTCGCTCCCATTTGGATTCCACTCAAGGACCTGGCGCATGATGTATTTAAAAATACAAATTGTTTATTATGCAACCACTTGTTTTAACTTTCGCTATTATTTCTACATTCTAATTGTACTAATTCATTATCACCCGCTTAACATGTTGATATCGAATAATTATTGTTAAAACCCTAATGACTAATAGATTGATAAATTACATATTGTATCAGAAATGCTACACATATATGTATTACAGTAGAGTAAGTTATGAAGATTTGATTGAAAAGTCAGTATTTCTCAGCTCAGTTTATTGTCTTATAAACATTTTTTCATCAACAGACGGTATACATAAATAGATGGGATTACTTAAAATGTAATAAAAACACTTAAACGCAACAAAATAAATTCATTCTCTAACATGAAATCATTTTGCCTTAGATAACAAATTCTATTGATAAAATAAAGGTGAAGGGAACTGTGAATATCCAATAGAGCTTGAAATACTCCCAGTAGGATGTATCTCAATGTCTAGACGCAGAAAATACTGCTTCTGAAATGAATATTTTATAAATTGATGACTGAGTTATAATCCTGTTGAAAATCGTTCATTCCTTTCATTCCTCTTAAACCCCGAGTAGAACACAGGGCTTCAAGCTTGTGCTTTGAAACTCCAGTAGAGATGGTGTTCTTTTACTGGTCGGGGTTCCTAAAGTCATGCCCAACCTTTCCTTTTACCGGGTTGCCTACCAGCATTGCGAAATTTAGGAGTGCGCCGGACGGAAATCGAACCCGGATCATATATTTGACTAGTGAGCATTCTGCCACTGAACCGCCGAAGCTCAAAACCTAAGGTGTGATAAACATCATATTTTCAGCTGACTTTACAAGAATTCTGAAGATATTCACCTTTAATCTGAACTATGCAACCAGTAACGCCTACAATTCACTACAAAGCTACCTAATACTTTTGTGCGTCGGTGGCACAGCAGTTAGGACGCTTGCCGAACATGCTTATGGTCTAGGGTTCGATCCCCGGCCGACACACACCTGATATCAATGATCGGCCTGCTAAATTTGGGCTACCGATATCACATGCTTAAAATTCCATACTTGTACCGAAATACTGTGTGGAATCAAGCTATAATCAGAAAATTTTTAAAATTTATTAAATCAAAGGAAAACTAAATGAAAAACAAATAGGTGGACGTATCAACAGCTCCTGGTTAAGCGCGCTTTTCGAAAACTGCGCTACATTTACATAGTTATCTAAAACTCTGATTTTTGTGGAATATCTTATCAGAAAGTTGCGAAAAACTTTCACAGTTATTTGACTTTGAAACACTGAATCCTTGGATATAATATTGTATATCAATATCACCTATAACTATCTATTTGCCACTCTGTACTTGATTAACACTAACTAATACCTATAATTGTACATATATTGATGGATTTACATGTTCAAGTTGGCTCAAGTCAGTGAGTCTATGATTTCGGTATCATTTTGGTTAACTGAAATTGACTGTGATATTATTATTGTTGTTGTCGCTTGTTACCCTTCTTGTTGTGAATTGTTTTCCCGTGCTGGTGTTTTTCTGCTTGTTTATTCCCTGTTTTCCTGGTTTTTAAGGGGAGCAACCCACAAGGTCGCTTCTCTCTAAATTATAAATTGATGTAACAACCCCCCTTCTCAGGCGTGAGGCTAGCAACCCCACCCTGTAAACAAACCTGCTACAGAAACTTCAGCACGATGTATCTCCTTGAGACAAAAGAAAAAGTCTTTCTGGGGACATGGAATGTCCGTACCATGTACGAGATTGGCAAAGCTGCCCAGATCGCAAACGAAATGAAAAGATACAGAATTCAAGTACTGGGAATATGTGAAAGCAGATGGAACGGGAATCGACTCAACAAATTGTCAACGGGTGAGTCAGTGATCTACTCCGGTCACCCAGAAGATAACCACCCGCTATCATGATGTCACCAACGGCGACGAAGGCCCTGATGCAATGGGAGGCGACCTCGCCCAGGATAATAACCGCCAGATTCAACTCCAAAGGAAGGAAAGTGTCAATTATACAATGCTATGCACCGACAAACAACGCAGACCTCGAAAAGAAAGAAGAATTCTACAGACAACTGCAGACAATAATGGACAATACTCCAGCTGGTGACATCAAAATACTAATGGGAGACATGAAAGCCAAACTGGGATCAGACAAAACAGGAAGGGAACTCATCATGGGTAGAGAAGCTCCAGAAGAAATGAATGAAAACGGAGAACTCTTCGCCGACTTCTGTGCCTTCAATGAACTAGTGATTGGTGGCAGCGTATATAAACACAAGGATATCCACAAGGCTACATGGGTGTCACCAGACGGGCGAACCAAACACCAAATCGACTTCATCTCAATCTCAAGGAAGTGGAGGCGCAGCCTGCTAGACACAAAAGTAGGAAGAGGAGCAGACATTGGCTCAGACCACTATCTCGTACAAGGGACAATCCAAATCAAATTAAAAGCTTTCAGAGAAACAGGAGCTGCAGATAGACCACAAGCCAAGTTCAATGCTCAAAAACTGAAGGACCAGGACACAAAGGACATCTTCACTGCAAGCATAAAAGACAAAGCCGAGACACAAATCAACACTGGCGAAGAGGTCAGCGTCGAAAAGCACTGGAACAACTTGAACACAGTGTGGAGTCAAACCTGCATGGAAGTTCTAGGCAGAAAGAAGAGACAGGACAAACAATGGCTCACTACGGACACTTGGAGACTGATAGAAGAGAGAGGGATGGTGAAACAAAAGATAATCCAGTGCACCGATGAGCAACAAAAACAGGATTTGAACGCAAGCTACAAAACACTGAACAAAAGAGTAAAGAAGAGTGCCAGAGAAGACAAAAAAATATTATGAAGCCATGGCAAGTGAGGCAGAACAAGCTGCAGGCAAAGGAGACCTCGCAACACTCTACCAGACTACTAGGTACCTATCGGGCAAACGTTTGACACAAATCAAGCCAGTGAAGGATGACAATGGAAAGTCACTCAACAAAGAAGTGGAGCAAAGGAAACACTGGGCTGAACACTTCAAAAGACTCCTAAATCGACCACCACCTACAACGCGCCCAACAATACCAACAACGGAGACAGAGCTACCAGTGAACACCAACCCCCCTACGAAATCAGAAGTCCTGAAGGTAATCAAGATGCTAAAAGCTGGAAAAGCAGCAGGACCAGATGGAATCCCAGCAGAAGCATGGAAAACGGACCCAGAGACAACAGCGGACTTGATGACGCCACTACTGGAGAAGGTGTGGAAAGAAGGCAAAGTACCCGAGGATTGGAAGAAAGGATACTTATTCAAACTTCCAAAGAAAGGAGACCTAAGTCAATGCAAGAACTGGCGCGGAATTATGCTCCTGTCCATCCCAAGCAAAATACTAAGCCGCATCATCCTGGAGAGAATCAAACATGCCCTGGATGAAAAACTTCGACCGGAACAGGCTGGATTCAGGAGAAACAAGTCATGCATTGATCAGATCGCCACATTACGGATCATCATTGAACAAAGCCTGGAATGGCAGTCACCTCTCTATCTCAACTTCATCGACTTTGAAAAGGCCTTTGACAGCGTCGATCGAGAGGTGATTTGGAAACTACTTCGCTACTACGGTGTGCCACCGACAATTATACATCTCATCCAACAGCTGTACGACAATGCTGCATGCCAAGTAATCCACAACGGGAAACTTATGGAACCCTTCGAAGTAAGGACAGGAGTAAGACAAGGCTGGCTGCCTACTATCTGCAATGATTTTCCTGATTGCAGTAGACTGGATAATGCGACAAACAGCGGGCAATGAGGAAACAGGCATAAAATGGACTCACACAAAAATCTTGGAGGATCTGGACTTCGACGATGATATATGTCTGATTTCCCACAAACTAGAAGATATGCAAGCGAAAGCAACAAGTTGGCAGAAGAAGCATCAAAGAAAGATATGAATTCAGGTGAACATAGATAAAACAGAGGTAATGAAGATTCCTGGACAAGAACAACCACAACAGATAACGATCAGCATAAATGGAAGGAACCTGAAAGAAACAACCTCCTTTACCTACCTACCTGGGAAGCATCGTCTCAACTACAGGCGAAAGGAACTGACGAGGATATCAAAGCAAGAATCGGAAAAGCAAGACAAGCTTTCATTACTCTCAAGTCTGCTTGGAGGTCAACAGCACTCAGCATCAAAAATAAGATCCGGATTTTCAACTCCAATGTGAAGTCAGTGCTACTATACGGATCAGAGACTTGCACTGTGCGTCATAAAGAGCATCTCAAACAAACTACAGACTTTCATTAACAGTTGTCTTCGCTCAATACTCAAGATCAGATGGCCAGAAAAGATCAGCAACAGGGATCTTTAGGAACGAACCAACCAGGAACCGATTATGAAACAAATAGGCAGGAAGAAATGGAGATGGATTGGTCATACTCTGAGGAAACCATCAAGTGACATCACTAGACAAGCCATTGCTCGAGTGGAACCCGAAAGGGAAGCGGCGAGTTGGTCGTCAGTGCAAGGGTGACTTGGAGGAGGTCATGTGAAGAGGAGATGAAAACGTGTGGGCAGACTTGGAGCCAGGTGAAGACCCTAGCAGAGAACCGAAGGCAATGGAGACGCACGGTTGAAGCCCTATGTTCCTCTAGGAATTAAAGGAAATAATAATAATCAACAGCTCCTACCTTCAAGAACATGTTCAGTATCTGTCTCAGCATTTATACCATCATGATGTATAACTTCATCTGACAGGTCATCTTCCTGCTCCCAACGATGTTCAATTGGAAGGCGTGATCTACTGGATGGTGTATCGTTTTGATGTGCATCCTCATCCTCTTCTCGGCTGACAGCATATTGTCGATGTTCAGTTTGCGAAGGGGATACGTCAGATTCTAAAAAGGATAAGATATCGTTATAATCAATGAAAGTCGTGATTTGACTTCTTCAAGTAAAATAATAAACCACATAAAATCATAGTGTTAGTAATAATAACGAAAAAACTGGTCGACTAGATTCTATCTGAGTTAATTTCGTTTAGAATGACCATCCGACTTTCAAGTAGTATTAGTTTAGTAATTGATCTGAAACTTGTTCCCGCATAATTAGATTCATTGATCAATGCCTCTTATTTGTTTCAAACTTACCCACTCACTTTGTTTAACTCGTTATGAATACTTATCTGTAATTTACTTGCATTTCGAAAGTTGTCTAGCTGCTTGAGACATTTCATGTTTAACACTTAAAAGTTATCTAAGCCAATCTGCAGTTTATTCAAGTAGAAGGAAAGGACTGAGTAGTTGACCAGAACAGCTAAATAGGACATATTGTTACACTTAATATTTGTCACAAACTTATTTAGCATGTTGTGGCGATTAGGAATGAAGTTGAGAATAAATTCAGTCACATCAGAATCAACAACCAGCATTTGAAACGAAGATTATCTTAAGAGGTTTTTAAAAAGATGTACGTGTGAATTATTCGTAATTTCTATTTGCTTACCTTTATGATAATCATCAGTGCCTTTCAAATTTAGGTTCTGAAATTCGTTTTCGATTTCACTTTCAGGTCTCAGAGTACCTGTAATCTTTTCATCAGTTTCATATATTTCTTGTTGAGATCCTTGTATTCCAGAAGCAATCAATTCTGAACTAGTTGTCATGGACTCACTATCACGAATGATATCGGCTTCTTCTTGCGTGACTAATTCATTGTGTTTTTGTGTTAGCATTGGATCACCACCTTGTTGACTGGTTGAACTAGCTGGTTCTACACCTGTTTGTTGCCAAAATCCTTCGTTATCTTCGTCTAATTCCGCCTGACCTTGTACAATAGAGGATAACTTTCCTTCATTATCGATATTTGTTTCTTCAGGTCTTCTTGGAGCTTGATTATCGGGAGCATTATGACTTTCTGTAATTAACTCAGATTCACCAGGCAATGGAGAAACTAATATGCCTGGACTTCTCCTTACGTCTTTCATACCAGATGCATTAATAACTGCATTATTATCATTATAAGCATGTGACATATCTTCCATGCCGGACATCAGAGTGGTTGTAGCTGCTAAAGAAGTGGAGAAAGGGTCTGAAACCAAAGGATCTATAGGATCGGAACCTTTGCGTTCATCTATTTGACGAGCAGCCTGATAAAAACAGAATTTTAGAGAATGAAATAAATGTAAGACAGTAAAATATAAATATGAAATAGAATGTATAGTTTGTCTTTTATCCAGACTGAAAATTCTGTCAACTTCATCTGATTGTTTTCTATACTCTGATGTGCTTTTCCAAAATGTTGCACCTTGAACTAATTCATTAGTGAGTTAGTCAGTCAGTGATTACAGAATAGGGTAATTATTTATAAGTGACAGTAGGAAAGGAATTTGACTAATTTTTAGGCTGTTAGAGAATATAAACTATAAAGTTAGGTGAACGCTTAGCACAGAAGTAGTAGGAATAAGAAAGGGAAAACCAAATCCCTGTACCCAAAAGAAACATGTACATCCATCTTGTCTACCTTAGCCTACATAAGCTCGACACATCCTATATCTATACATCTTGACGGTGAATATTTTAAACCCCTACCCAATTCTCTTCCTTGCTCCCCATGTATCAATGAAAGACCTTTAATTCATACCCCTTAATAACTCATAACCTTAATCAATAAGCCTATTACTCTAGGTTTATGTGATACTTTTCACATTTGTTTTTGTATACTTACACTCCTCATCTTTATTGTTATATCAAATTCACCCGTACACAATGATCATTCACTCATAGTACCAATGTATCTATAATACACCGTCATTGTTATGGTTGTTATTTATCATCCACTGAAATTACATTGAGTATATCCCATTTTACTGGTAATATTAATAATACTGCACTGACTATAACTCACTCACTGGGATCTATATTTTTGCTGATTATAAATTCAAAAACATGTCATTCATTTATTAAATCTCATGTTCTTATTTACTATACTGTTTGCGAGTTAAGATGACAATTAGAAGTATTTACCTACTGTTCCACCTTGTATTTATAACGCGGTAGATTTTCTAATATAATTTTGTTCTGCCTTTATTGGCGATTGCATACTAACATTAATTAATTTATGACTATGGAGTCTAACCAAAAAGTTATTAAAAACTACTATTCGCTCATATCTTTCCCTTGTGATTAAGAGCGTTTAATACTGATATGATCGTCGATACAACCTAGTAGTTTAGGAGCCTCTCTCCTTGATTAGCAGATTTGCGGGCCTACTGTTATTATCACTGTTCGCAACGACAACCATCACAACACGATACCACTGACACGCAACGCAAGAAAGGAAATAAGATAGACCGTTGAATAGAAAGCTTTTACTGTCTCGGATCAAACTAGCCATAATAATAATGTTATGTAATATTATATATATATATATATATATTTGAAAAGATAGAAATCAATCAGACTACATATCGATCCAATATCACTTAGCAGGCATTATTTTAGTAAAATAAAATCAATTGATATACTTAATACCAATCATCATAGTAACACGGAATTAAGGGTATATAACTAAACCACTACGGGTATGTAACAAATACAAAAAAGTTTATAATAATAAAATATCTTGGTTAATTCACCTTAGCATGTTCATCAGCGTCAAGTACATACTGAATATTGCGCATACAAGATTTGATGACATCTTCGCGACCAATTAAACGGAGGGCATGATCCAACTCATTACCTTATAAAAATAAATCCAAGTAGTATATTTAGTTAATGGTGGCTAGCAGTCAAATGCAGGAAGCACATTTCGTCCTAGTCGACACTCATCAGGTGAATGTTACTGTATTCCCACGGAGAATCGAGCGAAGACTAGATTTTCCGCTCCAAAAAAAAAAACAAATTACCTTGTTTGTTGTAACATATATGTATGCAGCATATTTAATGCATTTTGCGTTGGTATATTGACGCTAACTAAGGTAAAATGTGTGAATGCACGTGAAAGGAAATAATATCTATAGCACATTAATGTAAGTATACCTGGGTGTCAGTCTAAAATATCGTATAATAATGTCTTTCTATGTCTCAAAAGACAAGAAATTAATGTATAAAAAAATTGGTGGTGTGGTCACAAACCCGTCAACTTCCGAAAATTTTCAAACTATACTGACCTAAACATTTAATTGTCTTTCAGCACTTAATTTATTCTAAATGGTGAAACCTGCGCAGACGTTGTCTAGAAGGACAGTGAAAGCTTCACAATTAAATCAACTGCTTCAGAGAAAATAACTACATCAGAAATTTAATTTATTCTTATGTAATTTATATTTGCGCATTGCAATGTAAAGAAAAGAATTTGCAAAATCAATCTACTTTAAGTTGTCAATCTGGCAGAAGAAACAGAAAATCCGATTTGCTGTTAAGCTGTTTACTTAATGTGGCAAAATCCTGTGGTGAAGAATGAACACTATTCTCTACGAATATTCTCTTTTTTCCGTAACAAGTAGTGGGTACTTTAAACGTTGGTTACTCCCCTAGTGAACAATAAAAAAGTAGCCATTATAGTCCTACAGGAGGCTGACCATGAGCCTGAATATATCAGTGATAACGTCTGTGGCCACAGCACTGGATGACGCCAGTTGGAATACTAGAAGGGATATCAATTCTCTCAAGAATGTAGATACGCCTTGCTGATGAGTACGAATATGTACGTCAGACCAGGCTTCTTGCCACTTACCTCCAACCATCTAACATCAATTCATATGACTTTTAACAAAAAGCTGGTGAAGTAACAGGTAACTATCCCAGTTATTTGTTGCATTTACGATTTCGATTTTGTTTTTGATGATAAAATGAATTTATTATCTACTCTGACTCAGTGTCATGAGTAAAACTAAACAGGAAACTAATTTTTTTAATCACATACGTTTCTAGTTCAACTAGAAGTGTTGTATCTTCTACGAGGGTAGAATATGCACAGACAAAATAAAATCATCAATGATTATTGTGAGCAACATAAATATTGTTAAAAAATTTCATATTTCTGTAATTTTTTAAATATAATGACATAGATTTTAGAATATACATGAAGTGTAATGTATGTGTATTAGTACAAAACAAACATTTGTTTTTATCTATGAATTACAATAGACGATAACAAGTAGTTTCTTTTTTTATGTTTTTTATGTCGTCGGAAAGAACATGTTCCAAAATGGCTACTAAATCACATAGAAAATCCCAATGCCAGTAATCTGAATAGAAATCCAGCATCATCCATTGCAAAACACTTATTAATGTCAGGTCACAAAATAAATATTAATGACTGTTTTACAATTATTTCACATAACTCTAATTCAAGGTTATTGAAGGTGATGGAAGCACTTTGGATTAATCACATACAGCCTAAACTGTGTGTACAAAAATCAATAGACTTCAATCTTCGCCTACCCTGGACTACTTGACCTATATAAATATGATTGGTCGTTAGTATGTACTTTTGTTTTTATTTAACTGAGTAATTGTCATGAACTTTATTTTATTATTGTTAACCATGTTAGTTGTAAAGCGGTTGTAAAGAAACTACGAAATGATATCATCTCGCGAAATTTGTCTTCTTAATGCCTTATTCAAATATGTTATTTCACTCAATGTCATCAATACCGTAACATTTTATTTATTTGACTGACGAGACTTCACTCATCTTAGTTATAATTCATTGAAAATTCCCATTGGAACATCTAGAAAGTCAAATTCGCTGGATCACTATTTTTGATTTTCATCTTATTTTCTTCATTTGACCTCACAAATTCATATATTGACATTTCTGAATATTATTCATCTTCCTATCATCTATTTTACACATGTTTATTGAACCTTGTTGACCTTTGTTTATTCATCCATATGGCTAATCATCTACACCGATATTATCGCAATTCTGTATTTCCACTCACTGTCAAATTCCAACACATACAAGAAAAACCACTTGTTATTGTCTATTGTAACTCCTTTACATAAATACGATTGTGTAGACGTAAAAGTAACATCGCCGACAAAAAAAATTTCTTCCCTGAAATCTTCGTTTTATGCCTCAATAAAAAACTATTAATTTAAATGAATACGGAAAACTGAAATTTCCTTAAAATCAAATTTTTCTTCTAAGAATTTATTATACCTGTTTACTAAACATAAACTGGTGCGTCGGTGGTTGAGTGGTGGTCCAGGGTTTGATCCCCGCCTGACACACTCCTAGACTTCGCTAAGTCTGAAATCAGGCCGGTAAAGGGGAGAGATTGGGTGTGAGGTTAGCAACCCCGCACTGCTACCGGAACTTTAAAGATCCAGACTGAAGCCCACTTGGAAAGTAAAGGAATAATAGAAAACAGAAATCTATTTTCAAGTATTGATTTTGTAGGGATTGTTTGGTTGGTTGGAGGATTTCATCATGAGCTGACATCAGTTAGAGAACTATGAGGCAGTAACTCATTGAAGAAGACATCGCAAAGTGATCGCTCTATGTCATGAATTGGCAGAAGTTAGAATTCATGGGCCATTAGATCGGGTCCCAGTGACTTAATGGTCTACGAGCTCGCCTTGTAACCAGAAGGTCCTGGGTTCGAACCCCGGTGGGTACATACCGCTGAAGAGTCCCAAACTAGGCTGGTGAAACAGCTATCCAGTACTCCCAGATGGTTTTCCAATGGTTCGCTAACTGATGTCAGTTCATGATGAAATCCCCCAAAGAAATCTATTTGTCCAGAAAATGCATGCGCCAATTACAAATGCAATCATAAACAAATATTTTTATATGTAATCAAAAAAGAAAAAAGGTATTAGAAATTTGAATAAAGCATTTAGAAGACAAACTTCGCGGTATAATATCATTTTCTAGTTGACATCGATATGATGTCCAGTACCGACCAAGTGTGACAGGATCGAGCTTTTTTATTCCTTTGCTTATTATTACAAATATTATTACTACAATTATTACTTCAGAACAAATATTTAGAGCGAACAATTGTTTTCAATAAATTCTTCTTCAGGCTCTACAATTATAAATCCATTAATTTAAGCATACAGTAGCCAGTAAAGGCAAATTAGAATCATATCAGAGGAGCTCGACTGCGTCTTCTATCAGTACCTGAAGCGGTGGCAATTAATACCAGAAGACCATCTCTTTGCATACAGAAGAAGTACGTTCAACCACTATGTTTACCTTGGCCTACAATAAAGCCAACAAATCCTGCATTAACACTATAATTTCCTTTCACAATTTTCTTTTCTTCTCTTCTTCTTCTATTCCTCTGTTTCATTGACAATCGTTCATTTTCGACTTTTATGATTTCATGACCTTCCTTATGATTTTATTACCTTAGGTTTAAGTAGTGCTTTTCTAACTTGCTATCGTATTTACAAAATCCTGTTCATTCCACTTCATTATATTCATTATTATTATTTGACAATCATTCACCAATAGTGCTTGTAATTTTACACCATATCATCGTTATTATTTTACAATCATTCTTACTGTCGTTATTTTCAACCTTGAACTTATGTCTAGTCCGCCCCATTCGTTAGTTTATTTTCATATTGTCTCACACACCCTGATTACACACACTCTCGAAACCTGTATTTTCTGTTGACTATATTTATATATACACACACATCATTAAATTAAATTACTTCATCTGATTTTGTCCCATGTTCTCATTGACCATGCATATTAAAAAACTATCTGACTATTGTTCCATCCCATCTTATACTTGTTCCACAATATACTTTCTGATATGATTCTAATTTGCCTTTACTGACTTGGCTGTTGTATGTTTAAATTAATGGATTTATAATTGTAGAGCCTGAAGAAGAATTTATTGAAAACAATTGTTCGCTCTAAATATTTTGTTCTGAATAAATTATGGGAATATTCAATTTACAATTATTACTATTATTAATATTATTATTACTCGTCATAATTTATGCCCATCATGCAAACATTCTCTCAATACTATCGAATTTTTCGTTTATACTATCCGAACTTATTATTAGTGATATTATCTCTTTTCTCAATATATGCCTCCACCTTTTTCATTTCACATATTCGTTATCTCATTATGAACCTCCTATTGCAGTCTTACCATCTCCTGTTTAACACAGACCACTTTGTACTAGCCACTCACCTGACACCTTTTATAACCTTGAACTGACTTGTCAATTTTCTTACCCCACACTCTACAAATATATTATGATTAATCACCATTATAGGTTTCCAGGCCGTAGGTGTTACGAACTTCCTGAAATAATTTGAGCGCCGAGTCAGATTGATTCATTATAAATTATTTAAATTAATCCCAGCGTGTTAAGAAAATCAAAACAAGATTTTTCTGAACGTTTCGCTGTGTAAGCCACAGCTTCTTCAGCAGATTTATGAATCATAAATTTGCGAAACGTTCAGAAAAATCTTGTTTTGATTTTCTTAACACGCTGGGATTAATTTAAATAATTTATAATTAATCACCATTGTCTCCCGTTTTACAATATTTTGTAGTCGAATTCAGCCTAGCACGTTTGTCACACAAATACGACTAATCTGTTATTCTACGTTAAAAATGTATCTGCCGCATAACTGGTCTTTATTGTAACAACAAATATTATATTTTATAATTGTAAGAACCTGAAGAGAAATTATTGAAAAGAATATTCTTCGTTCAGATTGACTCTTAATTCATAATATGCGAATTTTCCACACTATCAAATCCTATTTAAATATGATTGGTCATTAGTGTGTACTTTTGTTTTATATAAATGAGCAATTGTCATGCACTACTCTAATATATATAGCATTTTTATTACAATACACAACAGTTTCCTAATCAAGTGGCGACATGTTTGTTAACAATAATTAGTCTGTGTCAAAATGTCAATGGGTTGATAATTAACAAAGAAAATCAATACACATCTAAAAGGTAGAAATGGTTAGAATAAATTAATTTTACAAGGAGAGAGAGAGGTTTAATTTAAGTTTACTAATGATTATACATACCTGTAGCCATATCTCCATTTTCTTCACGCCAGGCTAATAAAACAGCTAGAGCTTGATCTTGTACTGTTCTTAATTCACTTACACTGATTTGACCACCAAAACTACCAGCCACATCACCATCTTCTATAACTCCACCCGCTTGTATAAATCTTTTATTTCTTTCCATTTGCCATTTCGGTTCACTTTCATTTATCCAATTGACTAACTGATGAGCAGTACATGAACTTTTCAGATTTGATTGAGGTATAAGAACTTCAATTAGTTTAGGCCAATCTGAACCAATTTCACTTGCTACTTGAATTAAATCAATTTGACTACGAGCAATTATATCTGATGTATAAGCTAGGAAAAGCAAAATAAACACAGAATAAAAAAATGGCATAAATTCAAATCATAAGCAGTTTCATTTTAATACGTTGGCTAAATATTAACATATTCCCTTAATAAATTGATAGCTATGGATTCGATATTTTCAAGAGTCCGTGGCTATCCATTATGTAAGGATCCCAAACAATAGCGAAGTTGACTAGTGAAACTCACTTTCCGATAACTCACTAGATAATGTCAGATGACGATGACGTCTTAGTGAAGTTAATATATCTCTCAAGACTAAAACTAGATAGAAGTCAATAATAATAATAATTCACATTTTGTGAACCGCGAATTCTATAGGATAAGGAAGACTAACAGTTTTGACTGCACTGATGCAGAACTTTATTTCCTAGGAGCCACACTTGCTGAAAGCAGTTAAGCAAACAAATTTATTGATACAAATACGAAGGGTAAGTATTCTAGACTGGTCGTTAACTCAGTTCCAAACAAAACCATCTTCAAGAATCTGGAATTCAAAGGTGATCAGGATTCAGATATGCTGAAAAATCATCTTCCTAGATCATCCATTAAGACGTTCTTTGGGAGAGAACTCTAGTTGAACTGCACTAGCCGGAAGTCGTTCTCCGTTTACGCGGAAGATAAGCTCCCTCCTTTGGTTGCCATCACATACAGCTAACACTTCACCCGCTCTTTTGGAGCAGGGTACATGAACCATGGCCATAAAACACTATCCACACACATACAAAAGCATATCCCAGCATGGTTTTAAAAGTGAGAATAGAAAGGTGTAAGAAACTTTACTCTAAAGCACTCGATTAACTTCTGTCACTCAACTAGCCCTGATATTGATTGTGAGGACATACATCAAATTCATGTGAAAATAACTGGTTTTCTTCCTCTTAAACTTCTAAAGACGGCGGAGACGTTGACTTTTCATGAGTTTAAGCTAGACCATTGTGTGCAAAAGAAGCTGTTTAGTCCCCTTGACTTTCGAATTGAAAAGAGTGATGAAAACTACTTATTTTTTCGTGTTGTGTAATTAACCTGTCTACTTTTCACATAGTATCATTATCGCTTTTACATTGGATAGTTTCCGGTATTATTCCACTTGTACAGTTATATATATATATATATATATATATATATATATATATATGACCAAAGTTAGAAAATAGTAATAGCAATTAAATGACTGAAACAAAGAATCATTGTCATATTAATACTGACTGTGTGTGTATGTGTGTGTTGGGGGTTACTCACTTGAAATCCAATAAGGTTTAGGTTTATTTGATTCGCCATTCATCTCACCACTATTTTTTTGATCGTTTACACGTTTACCAAATGGGAATACACAACTCAATGAACCCATAGTTAACTCGGCTGCACTAGTGGCATTCAACTGATCTAAGAACTCAGGATGATTTTCTAATCCAATTAATGATGGATCAATACCCTGTTGACTACCAGCATTATCTGAACTGAGTCGAACTTCCAGAGTGCATAACGGTTTCTGAGCTTGTGGTATCTCATGATAGATGTACTGTGAATCACCATCACCGTCCTATAGAAAAGAACATACAGCATATATTGGATTATTTTGTGCACTTCCTATAGTCAGGTAGTATAATAACTTAAACAAATAAGTTTATGGTAATTTACAGCGTGTAGTTGTAGGAAAGAGACAGGAAGCTTTTTTTATAGAAAGTGTTACTACAGCAGCGACTTTCAGGTTAATTCTAAATAGAATGGTGTGATATCACAGTGAGTCAGCAGCAGCTAAAGTAGTGACACTGCACCCAACACTATCTTTTGTCTGGCTTATATAAAAGAATCAGTTGTTTAGCCAAAACCAATAATATACTAATCACAATATGTATTTTATCGTGAATTGAAATCAATTAAAAAAAGAAGACTGATAACCATCAAAGAACACTTTAAAGTAGTTCGGGTTCGATTCCCTGTCAACACACTTCTAAACAGCGCCTGGTTCGCTAGTGGGTAGTATGCTCAGAAAACGTAGTAAGTTTAGGCATAAGGCTAGCAACCCAACTGAGTACAAACAACAACACAACTTCCACTGAGAATTCAAAGCTTGAAGAGTTTTGTTTTACTCAGAATGCAGAGTGAGAAAAAGACGAGCACTATCGCAAGTCGAAAGAGAATTAGAAATAAGGGCTATCGAAAGAGATATCCATGAATTGAAATATATTTGTTACATATTAATACTAACTAATGATATCCAGTTGATGTTGTTAGGCTTACCAAACCAATCACGTAACCATAATTAATAACTACTACTTCAAAAGGACATATATGTAAATGGCTAGGCACAAAACAGTCCTAAGATCAGTCAGTGTGTGGAAAATGTTAAAATATAGGTGAAAATCTTAAAGGCGAAATTTTCTCTGCCTTGTTTTCCATCGAAATTTAATCTTTTAAAAGTGTACAACAGAGAGAAATTCAAAAAAGGAAAATAACTCACTCGAATAGATTGTCTTGGTTCACGCATAAATGCTAATTTTCCCACAGGCTCTTGTTGTACATCTTTGACACGCACCGGAAAAGCTAGTCTATTTTCACGGAAAGCATTAAAGTGCAAACGTAATTGTTCGCCTAATTTTGCTACAGGCAGCAGATTGCCAGCTGCTTCAAGCCATGCCGGTCTACTTTCAATCACTTCAACTTCTGGTGAAGCAGCGCATACTTCAAAGCCTTCTTGACATTCCAAAGTCTATGAATTATTCGTTATAAGAAATATACGACACATATTGTACTTTTCGTCAAACGAAAATAACTTTATATAGTTAAATAGCGCATTCGACTAGAAGGTATTCAAAAATATCATATGTAATTTTATGAAGGTCTTTAGAAAGCCTCAAACAGTTTTGGAAAGAATTTTTATTTTCTCGGAAGATTCTATTTTAATCAATCCAGTTTCCCAAAAATAAAAAAATAGTATTAAAATGAAAGTCTTCAATTCTGCCTAGAATTAACTGTCTGTCTAACTTGAAATCAACCAAATCCCTGTAAACCAAAACTTGAAAATATTTTAGGGTTCTACCTATGATTTCCAACCTGATTACTGGCATGACTTGAAGGTTAATCACATCGTCATGAAAGCTGAAATGACAAGAGTTAAAGAATCCAAGAAATCCATTCTACATTGACTAATCACTGCATGTTAACCAATGTCATGTATCTAGTCCTTAGTGTTCGTGGTGACTGAATTCTGTCAGTCGAGTTTGCGATATAGTCAGCCACAAAACTAAAAGACTCAACACCGTGGAACACTTTGAATTACTATTACATATTTGAAGGCAATCAATAAAAAGTTCTGGGACTAGGTTTCTCGCTTATTCTAAAACTTGTAAGTAAGGACTATCCGTGACCTCGAAAGAACTGGTGTCCCCTCGGAGACTTGAATTCGCGTCACTCAGTGCTGCAGTCAGACACTTTAACACTGGGCTATTTCCACTTATGACTGAACTCCTGTCAGATGGTAATTGATACAGTGACTGGTTCACTTTACTCCAGATAGATTATGAGAGAATTTATTCATTCAACAGTGAGAAAAATTCACGCAGAATGGTAGCAAATTATCGTAAAGCAGACATTGTATGATGGAATATCAATACTTTTCTTTCTGAAAATCTGCAATATTCATGTTACGCTTTCAGGTATGTATTACATACTATACACAATAAAGCACTCCAATTCAACCGGGTGGTTGCTAATTACTCGTGTACGAAACAGCTGTAAACATAGCGTGCTCGATTTTCATTAATATTTTTGTCATTTGAATGAAAAATAATTTCTTTCGAAGAAAAAGGCATAATCTATCTGTTGGTAGGATAAATTTGATTATTATTATGATATGATCGAATGAACACTTTGTGTGATCAAAGTGCATTTCTGTGGGAATCCTGTATACAAGAATATCAAGAAGGCATAAAACTGAAATCTGATATCTGGATCAATCTACTCTGCTGCTGATCGATTTAACTGGTGTTTAAAAATAGTGTACTATAAGAGATTTCCACGATGAATTTCTAATGGTTGGTAAACACAACTTCTAAGATATTTCCTTCTAATAGTTTATTTCTGCCCTCATACTTCACATTTTCCATTAAATAATTCATTCACTGTGTGTTTTCTTTTATGGCAGGTGAGGATAAATGTCTTACGAGATGTTTCAGCGCAAAGTATTGCAAACACCACAATAAATATTCCATATATATATAAAAAGTTGATAAAATACCTTTAAAACAGGCAAATATAACATCAGACTGACTGCAGTATTTCTCTAATCACGTAATACAAAATCACTTAAAATCATCTACTTGAGGAATTTCAAACCGTTATTGACTGTACCTGTTTTACCTATTCTAATATGCTGAAACGAAAGTGTGGTAAGTTTGCTTTGTTATAAGTTATATGTACTCACTCGAATACCCGTATTACTGGCAAAACTAATAACAATAAAACCATTAATTAATTAAATAAATTTTGTTTGAAAATATCAGACTAACCTTATCCACTTTATCATCGGTTACACAGAAGCATCGGACTAAAGCTTCATCGGTATCCAAGCGTTTGGTGAATACAACAAATTTACCCATATACGGAACTAAAGTCGCTTCAGCATACAACCGTCCAGCAAGTTCTGCAGCTTCATGTACAGCTGGACAGTCCATCAACCAAAATCTAGAAAATATTCGTGCATACGGGAAAATATTTTACGTACCATATGACACGATTATTATTCAGTGAAGTGATCATTACAAGAGAAAAAGAAAAATCAAAAACCGTGTCTAGCTCAGTTCTTCGACATTTTAAAGGTTAGAGAATCTTTGAAACAAAACTGAAGAAACATTAACTATTCATTAATCCAAAAACTCAGAATATCTTTTTACTTTCAATTATATCTGTCCACTATAATTTAGTTCTACTGAATGTATTCTTGTGCTGCTGATCTACATTCTCACGTGTCTAATGTATTCATGAAACAATGATTCATTTTGAGCTTCTTTACTTGGCTTATAATCTAGTACATACAAGTGTATATGAAGGCCTTATTCATTATTCTATCCGTCTGTTTGGTTGTTCCCATTGTGTTGACAATGTCTAGTTGTACATTTGTTAATGATGCATGCCTGAATTTACTTGATGGATATGTAAATGTTACTACTACTTACTGTCTGTCTGAGATTTAGTTGTTTTGAGAGTACACCATTACTAGTACATTCCTTCTTGTTTTTGCATGATCTTGCGTACAAATTTCAGTTGGCACTTAGTGCGGAAATTACTATTTAATTCAACTACAAAACAGTACAGTTCTCTTCCTTTAAGTGTGCTGTTTTAAACTGATTCGGGTTGAATTGATAAGTCAGTTTTGTCACTCATTAAAATAGTAACAAACAAACACATAAGCGAGAGAGCTATACTTCAACTGACAGTCACGACTAGGAAGAAAATTCATTTTACTAAGCACTCGGTAATTCATTACTAACTGAGCTACTAGTGAATTCACTACAGATGTTCACATTCTTTATTCCGTGTTAAATGGTATAACATGGTTAGTAACAATTAGTTTAGTTCCTTTCTTTGTCCTACCTTTGTGTCTGCTACATGAAGTGTGGTAAGTTGAACTGCTTCACTTCTGTGCAAAGTTCTATGTTGAAACTCAGACTAGCGAGTTCTTTCAATATATCAATTAAACTACCAAAGTCTCTTCTATTCTGACTGCATGTCTAAAAACCTAATCTTAAACACATTCATTTCTAATTGGCATGGATCAATGTTAAGACGATATATCAATGGACAGGATTATAACATCGAAACCAACTATACTATGGACTATTACCTTGCTGAAACAGTTGTAGTGAACGAGACACAATCTTTGACTTTAGACAGCGGTGTAGATCCTGTAATATCCTCCCATTGTGCTGGTGCTGTACCACCAGTGATACTGCATAACAATCTTAAACTTGGCACATTTTGCGACTTCAAATCACTCATTGTTGGATTGATCATACCCCTAACAGCAGCCTTAGGCAATGGAATTGTTAAAGTGATTGGTTTATGAAATTTACGACGGCGTGGCTCTAATGTCACAATTGGTGAAACTGCAACACGATTACCTAGCAGACGTGTCACTAATTCTGGAGAAATTGGATGGGCCTAAAATGAATAAAAATGTCAACAAACAACAAAAATACAATGTTGTAATGAATTTTTGGAATTTAACGGTACACAGAAATCTTATACCACGCATGTAACATAGCGAAAAAACTATATCTCCACCTTGAAAGAATAGAGACCATGGTTGGTGACATGTAGATATGTGGAAGATCCGGGGAATTTGAGCTTAAGTTGGTATCTTATTTGGTGAGTTCAGTGACTAACCCACCACCAGAGGAGTTAACGGTCAGATGCGGAGCGAGTGATGAGCACTTCGCTAAAATTTATCCCAGATTGCAAGTCATCATAATGGTGTAAAAATAGAAGCGTTCGTTATCGGAATATACAGATCAACTTACTATTGCATTTATCCATACTGTAGTCTTCAGATCGTATGTAAAAACAGAAGACAAGGGCCAGGCAACAGATCGTTTATTAAGGAGATCAAAGCATATTTATATATTTTCATGTACATTATTATAGATTATTTAAGCAAACAAACACAGTCTTCTGATTGGTTGTTTCTTCACTGAAAGTTAATCTTTCATCTCTTTGTTGCTGTCTCTTGATTGTCAGATCATCTATATGCCAACTGTATCCGCCTACGCAAAGCCTTACTCATTTTTCTCACGACCAATATTGGGGACATAAACAATGACGTAAATTACTGTCTACCAACTTTGGCTAGCAGCCAGCTCTCACCACATACTTAAAGATGCTTCGTCAACTAATTTCAGTTATTCAATAGACTGTTGTGATGTATTTAATGCTGTGTGAGGTGCTGATGATCTACGAAACTTAACCAAGACCAAGAATCAAAATATTCTCTCTTTTAATTTAATTTCCTTTTTAATTAAGGAGATAATTTAAGAAAATTCCAGTCTAATGTCACACAAACTCGAAGATCTACATGAGAAAACCAATAGGTTGGCAGAATAAAAAGCAAAGACAGGAATTCAAGTGAACATAGCGAAGACACAGATGATGAAGCTAACTAACTACCAACAACAAGCATCAATCACATTCAACGGCAGAAATCTAAAGGAGGTCCCCCACATTCGCCAATCTGGGCAGCACCGTCTCAAATACAGACGGCATAGATATGAATGTCAAAGGCAGGATCGGAAAAGCAAAACGGGCCGTCATTATTCTGAAATCAGAGTGGAATCGTACTGCACTGGGAAGTGAGTGCTTCTATATTGGTTAGAAGACATGACGCACACGTCAAGAAAAGCATTTCCAACAGGAAACTACAAACTTTTCTCAAAATGACCCTGAAAAGCCAATCAGATGAGCCCATAATAAAAGCGTGCAAATACGGATAAAATGTACGAATTACAAAGCAAATTTCATCCAGATGTAATATCTCTGGATAATAAGTTTATAGGAAAAAATAAAACATTCATATGTGGAGGGATAATGACTTTACAGAGATATGCAACTGCCACTGATGGATATGGAGTGATTCACATGCAGTTATCGTCATTTGGCTACTTTCACAACCAAATTATTCATGTGCCGAAATTGGTTTGGAGTACTGATAAGAAATCCCATATTGAACTAGGAGATATTCTTAAAAGCATATAAGCGATCGTTACCCTGTATAACTAATTTTTACTGCTTACCTTGATATTTCAATAGCAAAAATCAAAATTTCGCGTTTTTACTATGGGATTCTCTGATTGACTGTTTAGGGTCATTTCCAAGGTCGTTCGCTTGAGTCGCTGTACTTTACTCTTACCCAGTTGGGTATACACTGAGGAAACCCTTAAGTGACATCATGCACCAGGCGCTCGAGTGGAACCCGAATGAGTAGAAATATCGTGAGCGTGAGTTCAAAAGTAACATGGAGGAGATCATGTGAGGAAGAAATGAAAGCTTGTGGGGAATGGTGAAGCCAGCTATCAAGGAGTGAAGAGAACAGAGTGAAATGGAGACTTTCTGTCGAAGCTCTGTGTTCCATTCGGGACCCAATGGAATAATATTAAAAATAATGAATATTCGAACAATTCAGTTATAGAGTCTGTAAACGCAACAAACATGTACACACGTACACATGATCCGATTTAACGTAGTAATTAGGCTCTTCTTAATAACAGTAAGTTAAGAATTAATACGAAGATTCTCGAAGACATAAGGTAAACGGAAAGTAAAAACATGATGTAAATGAGAATACAATTGGGTACCTGTAAACCAACACGTATTCTTTTTTGAAGTGCACCTTCTGGAAAAACAGCTTGTACTTGTGGAACAACTGTTGAACTCAGTACACCACCATCTGAACCAACTAGTGATGATTCTTGACGTAACCTGCTAACAACTGCCAAATACTGTGGAAAATCATTGGTCAATATGCGAATAATACGCTTTTCTCGAAGTTCTTCAATTGTTTCTAAACCATCTGCTCAAATTAATATTTTTTGAAAGAAAATTACGGTTATTGCACCAACAACACAGCACAATAATAAGATAAAAGAAATTTATTTCAGCTTCATATTTGTAAATACTCATTGTTTCGAAGTAATGAGAACAATCAAATATTAATATATCTCATCCTATGACATGAATGTTCATCAAGAATTCATTGATTTCACTGTAAGTTAGTATAAAGAGAATAAGAGTACAAGTTCCTCCCGGACAAGCAGTGAAGAAATAATAAAGAACATTTGTAGCTCAGATGGCCAGAAAAGATCAGCAACAGGGATCTTTAGGAACGAACCAACCACGAACCGATTATGAAACAAATAGGCAGGAAGAAATGGAGATGGATTGGTCATACTCTGAGGAAACCATCAAGTGACATCACTAGACAAGCCATTGCTCGAGTGGAACCCGAAAGGGAAGCGGCGAGTTGGTCGTCAGTGCAAGGGTGACTTGGAGGAGGTCATGTGAAGAGGAGATGAAAACGTGTGGGCAGACTTGGAGCCAGGTGAAGACCCTAGCAGAGAACCAAAGGCAATGGAGACGCACGGTTGAAGCCCTATGTTCCTGTAGGAATTAAAGGATACAATAATAATAATTTGTAGCTCAGCTGGATGATAATAATTCTGATGTAGTTATGGTCTTTCAAACGAGTAACTGAATCAAGAAGTTTCCAACGTCTTTTTAGACAACACTTTTAGTGCAGATTTCAATGTGAAGTGAACATGTTTGAACTCTCCCTGAATGGTATAATTGTCTCTGCTGACGACCTTGATTGTGGTTATTTATTGATTTGCATTAGTATTGGTCATCATTTCGATTTGGAATTTGACTTTTTGTCATGTGACTTATTCTTAATTACAGGACTCATGGCGAACTGATATCAGTTAGAGAATCACTGGGAAACCCGGGAGTGCTGCACAGCTGTCTCGTCTTAGTTTCGGACTCTTCATGGGTTCAAACTGAGAATCTCCCGGTTACGAGACGAGCTCGTAGACTATTCAGCCAGTGAAACCCGACTCAATGATCCATGAATTCTAACTTCTGGCAATTAGGTGATAAATTTGATTTATATTAATGTGTCTGTTGATTGCAGATTCGTCTGTCTACTGCGATTCTAGGAATTCCCTGGCATTTCTGTTGTGGGTTTTTAGCTCATTGATTTACGTATTTATCAGAGCTTCAAATCCAGTTCCACCTAACAATGTTTCACCAACCAAGTAGTAGCCTCCGCCATAAAACAATAGATCTAGTATGTTACCAAGTGCATGCGAACGCGTGTAGTTGTTGAGTGACATTTCATTATCGAACAGTAAGATTCCTTTAAGAGCATATTTTTTTCTAGTAATATGTGTAAACAACTCAATATATTGTTTCCAACAATTGTGAAATACAATAAGTTAACACTGTACAGCAGTCCTCCTAAAACTCATCACTGTGATTTATTAGTAAACCAAACACTCGGTCTTCATATTAAATCACTATATGTGATTTGAATAATTTCGATTTGCAAAGGAAACCACGTGGAAGTTTCGCCTCCTCAAACTGAGTGAATTCCAATTCGCAAATTGCGAATTTGATTCAAAGTATCACCAGTTCACCCAAGTAACCATCTAGAATTCGGGTGGTTCAAACCAAGTACACATCTGATGAGCTCAGCCGCGAATGGACAATACCGATCTGAACAGCAAGCGTCATGCATTTATGTGATTATTTTTATCACAAACAAATATCTCAGAATTACTTCCAGTTGGCATTGAATCAAATTTAGTTCTTAGACTATGAACAATACCCATTCTGTGTTTTTAAAAAGAAAAGTAATGCTACAATGGCATCTAATTAGACTGGGATACTGATTACCTTACCTGTTCTGTTTTCACGACATGTAAACATTTTTTGAATCAATGGGATTTCGTAAAATGTAAACATGAATATTTTATAATAAATCACACTGATACATTATATGTTAAGACCATATTTGAAACAGGTTAAAGACTTCTCATTATTTTATTAAAATAAATAAAGTGGGCAGGCTTTCTGTTTTATCCACTTTCCCCTTGGAGTGCGATGTTTGTGCAAATCTTCCTCTAAATTTTAATAACAGTCCATACAAATCAATAATGATTAACCTGAACTTGACAAGCAAATGCAGGATTCCTTGCTTTAGTTTTTTGATGCGTGTTACTGATTAATACCAATTAAAAGTCAACAAAATGTTTTATTACCTACTGAGGAAGAGATTACAACTCTCCATTCATTGCATTTATTAAAAAAGGCATTTTCCCAATTACTGATCAGCATCTATCGACCAAATGTATATTGGTGTTACTAAGCTAAGTTATACAACACTCTCGTGGGCATTGTATTCAGCTTCGCGCGTTAGCATTCAATCCGTATTAGGTTGTTTGCTTGAACTCATTTACTAGGATCACAGATTTTTCATCTACCAGACTGAGACACACACAGACCCAAGTAGCCTAGTAGATAGTGCTTTAGAGTTTGAAATGATGGGTGCTGAGTTCGAGTCTCAATGGGAACACCATCAATTAATCTGGATTGCAGGCACATACAGCTAACGAGTTTCAAGTTGGATGGAATGCGCATCCTGGATTTCACTGCTAGTCACCATCTACCCAACAAAACCATGTTAATCCTCAGACATCGTTGAAGCGTCCGTACTAAGAGCCGATATGTCAACAAAGACCGAGCGTTTTGGTGCAACATAATCAATCAACGGGAAATACGAAATTAACTTAAACAAATGTATATAACAGTGGTATGTGCATGAGATAAACTGACTTGATGAAGTGCATGATCCTACTATATGTTGTTACAATAAAGTAAGAAAGAACTGATTTGATGAAATGATGTCAGTGTCTTAAAGTGAGTCATTTCCAACTGGACGAGTTAAATCATTATACAATTTCTAACGGTCAGTAATTCAAGGTTGGAAAATCTCTGAATAATGTACTGTGTCTGTGTAAGACTCCACACTTTTAAATAGCAATGCTAATGAAATATTATAAAATCACAGCACCAATGAAGAAATTCGTGAATTTAGCTTACTCTGTACCTTCTGGTGCGATTAGATAAGCACTGTCTTTGCTGACACACGACTACAAATAGAACAAATTCAATTCAAAAGAAAATATGACTCAACACTTTAGGTATGACTGATGAAGGTCAATAATCCATTGCAGTTTAGGGGGGGAACATAACAAAGGGAAGAAAATATCGATTACTCTATATTCCTTTGTTGACCATCTTGCCCTGGCGATAGTCACTAAACTTTTAAGCTGTTATGTCTCCCTATAACAGAAACTACACCAACCTACCACAACGTCACATGACTAAAAAAGAAAGAAGAATGCACGTGTACAGTTGGTTATATACCTGATGTAGTATGTAAAGGTATGTGTTTATATAGAGATGTTAACAACTATGCGGTAATCGACAATTTTGGCAAGTAAGGTTGTCGTCATAATGCCATATTTTTATGTAAGCTATCAAATATACTTCTACCTACTTACAGTATTCATTGATTAGCAATTACATATACATGCACACAGAGCTCTGATTGAAATTTTTTAAACCCGTAGAACAAGATAAAATCAAGCAGCCTTGTATCAGTCCTAACGGCCATGAGACACGCTGTAGATTATGTGAGAAGTTGGAAACCAATCGAATACAGTCGACAAATTCTAACTAAACAAAGATTGAAAGTCAGTTCATTCAAATGAATCTTGGGCTAGAAACCTGATTCAAACATTATTATCATAACTGTATATTCGTCAAAAGTAACTTGACACTGACTGCTACATAATTTCAATCCTAAACAAACGCATACAGTCTACATGTGATGATTCTTTTGTTTACCTTAGATAGACGTATTTAGTAATGAAGTCATGATACTGTTCAGTAAAAATTTCTGTTATTCGCTGGAATTATTCTGCCCCTTTGATCAATGTCACTTCACAATACAGCCACCTCAAAGGTGCCATAGAATTAGCATCATGTCAACAAAGACAGAGCATTTCGATCCGATAAAATCAGTCAGAGGGAAATTCAAAAAAGGATTTCAGAAAACCATAACTAATAGCCCTTAAAACAAAAATAGTTAAAGAATTGTTTTCAATAAATTCTTCTTCAGGCTCTACAATTATAAATCCATTAATTTAAACATACAACAGCCAAGTCAGTAAAGGCAAATTAGAATCATATCAGAAAGTATATTGTGGAACAAGTATAAGATGGGATGGAACAATAGTCAGATAGTTTTTTAATATGCATGGTCAATGAGAACATGGGACAAAATCAGATGAAGTAATTTAATTTAATGATGTGTGTGTATATATAAATATAGTCAACAGAAAATACAGGTTTCGAGAGTGTGTGTAATCAGTGGTGTGTGAGACAATATGAATACTACAGAAAATAAACCAGACGTAAGTTCGAGGGTGAAAATAACGACAATAACAGATTGTGAAATAATAATGAAGACGTGGTGTAAACTTAAAAGTACACTTAAACTAATGGATTTATAATTGTACAGCCTGAAGAATTTATTTAATACCCTTTGCACAAGAGGGGGCTCTAGTGGCCCACTGGTGTAGCGGGTAACACCTCGTCATTTGAAACGATGGGTGCCGAAATCAAACCACCACTCATTAACCAATCCTAGATAAGATAAAACCCGCGTCCTGCATTCCACAGCTAGCCACCATCAACTAAATAACAAAAGCATCTAATATAAATGAAATGATACGAACGAAGTTTATCCAGTGAAATATTTTTATTTGTTTTCGTGCCTTGTAGAACAAAGGTAAGCGAAATCAAGCGATTTTGTCCTATTTTCAGTATAAGGGGGTTAACACTGTGGTTAACCTGGATTTCTCCTGTTAAGAGTTATTCCGACCTCATTGCATATTTGTTGTACCCTACTGTTTCCCTAACCCACTGACATTAAATTGATACTACATTTTGTGTAAAATTAATTATAAGAAGTTTGTTTCAGTGTTACCGATAAAAATTGTGCCAATCTATTTGGTCATAGCCAGTCATATGCAAGAGATCAATCAAGAATCAGGCACAGAAATTAACCACTTTATATTTCGAAAAAGGTAGAAAGAGAAGAGAACAGGCATAAACAAGGAAATGGGTCAAGATGTCCAGGAATTCAAAGATGATAATTAATGAAATATTCCAAGCTATGCTATCATCAGGAGTCTACACTTGTTGATTTTTAACGTCTTCAGAATCCAAAATAGATAATCTGCTTTATGAACTGGTGACATGTTTCTTTTTATCTACACCTAGAGTTTTTCAAACTTGTCTTCCTTTGGCTAACCCTTATCAACAAAGATTTCATTTTCACTGATATATATATATATATATATAATTTTTGATTATAGCTTGAAACCACACAGTATTTTCGATACAAGTATGGAATTTTCAGCATGTGATATCGGTAGCCCAAAGTTTGAAGGCCAACCATTGATGTCAGGTGTGCGTCGGCAAGGGATCGAACCCCGGACCATGTGCATGGTCGGCGAGAGTCCTAACCTCTGTGCCGCAAACGCCGATCAAGTTAATCCTACCTTTAAATTGTGACCTGAACTGCACTGAAAGGTATCAAGGGTGCTAACTACTCCTCCGAAGTTCAGTGGAAGAAAGGTGAAAGGTCGTTATATTTCGCGTTCTATAATAATAATAATAATAATAGCTTTATTCCAAACAGTATTTGTGGTACAGGTATGGAATTTTCAGCGTGCATTACAATATTGCATTTATTTACCTCATAAATTTTTTATAAGATTTTAAAAATAAAAGCAACAACAACAAAAAGAAAACAAGAGAAATAAAAGAAATAAAAAAGAACGGCATTGCATTCACATATTTGAACAATGCACCGCCGGAATATGAAATATAAAATTAGTGTGTAATAGAATATGTGAGCAACAATATAATGGTAACAAAGAAAGGAAAACAAAAGCTAATGGGAACTATTTGTTAGAGTGCCGCAGTAAGTTGATCGTGTCATACCTAACAGTTTTCTCATCACATAACAGCTGTACCAGATAAGGTATTGTGGAGTTTTTGTACTTGGTAGTCCTGGCATATAGCCCCCTATAGTTGCTTCTAGTTCTACCAGATGAAATGCAAGGAGAGAGCTGCATATAGAGAGAATGCTCGGGGTCTGACAATATAGTATTCGCTAGTTTCTTACATGACATTATATGTCTATCCACAATGGTGTTAACCAGTTGGTTTAACGAAATCCCACTTCCCCTACTAACAGCTTTTAGTGCCCTACGCAGTAAAGCAAAGTTTTTCTTAAGTAATCCAGGAAAGATTAATGGGGAGCAGTAAAGAGGGATGGTTAGAATACAAGAGTTGACAAACTGAGAAAGCAAAAACTGCTTTATACCAAACTGCCTTAACTTCCTAACGTAGAACGTTAAGCGAAACATCTTTCTAGTAACTAGCAAGATGTGAGAGGACCAAGAAAGATCGGAGGAAATACTCAGTCCAAGGTACTTGACATTAGATGTAGTTTCAACTTAGGTAATAACCTGCAGTTGCTACCCTGAAAACTATGTAAGACAAATCTCCTAACTTTTACTATCGCGAACCAAAAAGTGATTAGTGTCACAAATAAACGTAAAAATGATAAATTAGTTAACAACTTACCAAAACTTTGGCCCACAGCTGACTGAACAGCTTGATCGGTAGCTTCTAAAGAATGTTCACGCCATGTTTCAGCATTATCACTACGTAGTACAACCAATTCACGCTGACGACCGCGTAATGAAGCAAAATGTGGAATTTCTAAAAGAACTGGCGTGTTAAATCTACATGGGTGAGGTCCTAATTCGATGATTCTGTAGGAGATAATATTAAAAATTGATGATAATAATACCTCTTAAGATTTAGATTTACATTTTATAAATAAACGTCTGACAACAGCTGTCTACTATAAGCATCCATTCATGCTTATTTTTCGAGATTATCCCCAATCAAGTGATATAAATGACAGGTCAGCTAAAAAAGCGTTGCGTGTTTCTATATTTCCACAAAGAGTGCTGATGTTTAATACTAATATTTATCCATCATTCATAATTTGAAATGAATGCTAGTTGTCTTTCTTTCTCTTACACTAAGCTATTTAATAACCTGTTATCAACTGACAGTTTTCAGTAACTTCAATCCCAACATCTGACAAATAAGTATGAGACAGAAACTGATTGTTTTGTTAATCAGAAATATATGGAAGGGTTCATAACCTACTCCCCTTTATGAATTTAAATAAGGCAAAAACAACAGTTATTGACATCTCCATGGAACGCTTGGAAGATAGACCAATTCACTGAGAGTCTAATTAGAATGGACAGTACTTTAATTTCAATAATTTTTGTCTCATCAACTATGTATGAACATTGGTCAAAACTTTGTTTTACCGAGCTCCATTGAGAAACTAAAAGAAAAATTTCTGATTCATGAGATGTTGAGAAATAAAAGAAACCTTTAGAAATCCACTAACAAGCACGGAATATATCTGGGTTTAAATGCAAAATCTATCTTCATTCAACTCGATTTTAAGGGTGATATTGTGATATGACCATCAATGCAACCTGGTGGTTTACGAGTATCTTGGTCAAATGAACTTCCTAACTAGCAGATGTGCGAGCCTACTGTTATTATCACTGTTTGCAACGACAACCATCACAACACGATACCACTGACACGCAACGCAAGAAAGGAAATAAGATAGACCGTTGAATAGAAAGCTTTTACTGTCTCGGATCAAACTAGCCATAATAATAATGTTATGTAATATTATATATATATATATATATATATATATATATATATATATATATATTTGAAAAGATAGAAATCAATCAGACTACATATCGATCCAATATCACTTAGCAGGCATTATTTTAGTAAAATAAAATCAATTGATATACTTAATACCAATCATCATAGTAACACGGAATTAAGAGTGTATAACATAATATTTCAGGAATAGTAATCGGAAGACTGAACACTTCACTAACCAGAACCTATCCTGCAGCTAAGTTATTCCTCGTTTATCGGACAACATGTTCTTTGGTGCAATCAAAAGTACCCTTCTTATTTTAGCTCTAATTGTGTATACAAATTTACATGTATCTGTGGTAGTCAGTTACTTTGAGAGAGAACAGAAAGAAGGGCACATCTTCAATTATCTGAACGTATACTCAAAAGTCAACGTTTCATGCTTCCAATAGTGCTGCTACCAGGCATCCCGTTAATACGGGTGATGAATTATCAATAGACTGTTGAGTTCATTTCTTCTCAAGTTTGCCAAAGCAGTTGCTATCGTATGCTTGAAACACGTTTTGTGTCCAAAAATAAGCAGTTATCAGTCTTTCCTTGCCTTGGTAACACAACAGCTTTACTCTTCATCTTATTTGGGCAGGTAATCGTTGGGTTTAACCTCTTCCCCATTTTCCATAGTGCAATTTCGCTCGTCTTTTGTTTCTGAGATTTGAGTTGAACTCACCACATTGTTATACAACTTATTAGTTACTTATCTCCCTGCCTTTCCCTTGTCTTTATTGCGTAACTCCTTTACATTACTTAACACCTTATTCCGCAAAAACTTATTTTACTTTCTTCAAACGACAGAGTGATTAGGCTTATAATTGCATAATTATCGATTAACGTGCGTTCGTATTCTTAATTTATCGCTGTCAGAAAGCAGAAGTCCTTGGACTAGTTAAAAGCTAACTAAACACGTCATTATTCAATTCAATTAACAACTACGTTAATTAGACATACAGATACCATTTACCTCCCTCACTTCTTTGTAAACAGGTATTAGGCTATTTATGATTAATGTGAAGCCCTATACTATGTGGAACGAAAATCGCTTAGTTCAAATACAAAAATTCAAATTACATTACTATGTTGTAAAAATAGTCCGTTGATAAAAAGAAATGCTAATTACCGACAAGCTAATCCTTCACAATCATTCAATTGTGGTGGTCGAGCAGTCCTTTCTGGTCGTAGCATACGACAAGTAATACGTGTTGGTGCACTAGCTGCACTGGGTGGAACCAAAATCCGAAGACCTGGGTGACGGCTACCACGCATAGAACCGCCACGTGCATCAACCAGAAACGAGACAAGAAAGCTAAAAATTGAAATTAACCAGGGGAAAAGATTAAAGAAATCACCTTTTTATCATAAACAAACCAAAAAAATATTGAATGATTTCATTGTCAAACAAATACAAAAATGCAGTAATTACAGTTTATATCAATAAATCTTCAAATAATGCTTACGGACTTAGGGTTATTAACAGTGGCATGCATGAGTTCATAATGCATCCCCATCTTAGTTGTCATGTTACATTTAACTCCGTGATTTCATTCAAACACATTCCATGACTTTTGATAATATTAATTCTATCTCCTTTTTCTCCTCTCCACCATAATAGTGTAGCTTGATATGCTGATATACAACCTTTCGTGAAACACACCGTCATGCGAGAATACCAAGCAGATGCTGTCTGTATGATTCGTCCATAGATATTTTAGACTCCACTAGAAACCAATGAGAGTTGACCACTTTAACAGTTTTGTTTCGAATAAAATGTTAATGTGAAATATGACCATACTTTGTAATGACAGAGTAGACCTTTTCTCTTATCATCTGAGAGAATTAGTTAAGGTTAGGATTATGAGCAAAATCTCTGCCGATCTAATGGATAAATATTTCTCTTTACCTCTTATTATTCCACTCATTCCGTTGAAGAGGAAACAAATATTTACATACTCTTGCTTTGCTGCTATCCTCTATTCGGGTCACAACAAATAACCAGCACCTACTTTAAGTAAATACTAATTTCAAGAATCAACTATTATAGAGAATACTAAATGGCGTCGGTGGAACAGTGGTAGAATACTCACCAACTACGCATGTGGTCTGGGGTTTGATCCCCGGCCGACGCACTCATTTACCTCGCTAAGCCAGTAATACGACTGGTAAAAAGGGAAGGTTGGGTATGAGGCTAGCAGCACCATCCAGTAAAAGCAAAAACCACTGCTACTGAAACTTCAAAGCTGTAGCTTGAGGCCCTATGTCCCACTGGGAACTTAAAGGAATAAAATTAAATAAAGAGAGCAATAATACTCTCTTACAAGTTCAATGAAAATGCAATACCATACAAATCAACTACCGTATGTTAATTAATGCTAGTGGAAAACTATTGATAAAGTGCACAATGTATTCACACAGCCATACGTCACAATACTTTGGCACACTGATAAATAGAATTTGAACACACAAACAAGACAACACTGATGATTAGATTAGGTCAGATGACACAGCCGGTCCTGCATATGAGGCAAGTCTTTAGTTAAGCAACTTAATATTAGAAATCATTAGCTTCCGATCTGAGTGAAGCTGGTTCACACTTCCAAAAGGGAATGAAGTTCCTACCCCACGGTTACAGTTACACTCTGTTACTAACCCTTAGCACGCATGAACTTTAGGTTAATTAAGCTTTCATTCTAATTGGCATTTTCTACCATTTGATGTGTATAGTATCATTTTCCTTTTTTACCTACGCTGAGTAAAAAGAAGTACATGACAAACAATCTGTCATTCGCAACAACTAAATAATGCTCATAAGTCATCACAACACCAATAATTCATTCATAAGCAAAAATACAGAGAACATGTGTTGGAAACTCCTAACTATTTAATTTAAATACGATAAGATGATGATAAATACACTTGTCAGTTGACTTAGCTAGCTTACTTGTATTTGTCACTGAAGTACACGTTTTAAAAGTGCAATGGTACATAAACCAACCAGTTCACTAAAAATTTATACTGTACAATAATGGATAAAAAATGTGATAAAAAATGTCATATTCGACGATAAATTTTAATAAGATATGATTAAATTCATACAGACACACATATGTTCTATCATTAAAAAACTGAATATGAAAACTTTTGATAAGTTCATAATTGCGAAAAATCTAATCGTCATATAAGGTTGACCACAGAGATAATGGAAAGAAGGTTTATCAGTTTAAACAGAACATTTAGCCAATTGGTTTAGAGTCTGATTTATGCTTCATCTACGTCAACTTGACGAACTGCTTACCATTAAAATCTTCAGGACTCTTTATCCAGCACACCTAAATAGGCAGATTGTATAAGTCATGTTGCTTAGCCATCCATGTAATATACATCAGAATAAGTGTTGTAATTTTAGTTCACTCATACATCATAAAATTCATCCGTAGCAGTTTGCTGAGTTGCACAATGCACTATCTAATAGAAAGTAACAATAATCTGAGCTTGAAATTACAACAATCGCCATTTCCATGTGATCAACTAGAAATGATTTGTATCCTAGTATTTCAACGAAAAAGCAACAGTAAAAAATCAAGGAATTTTTTAAGGGGAAGAACCAAGTATGCCAAAAAAACAATAAATCTTTATATTGGTAGTATATACTACTGGTTGATATGAGCGGCTGTGAATTAGTAACGTCAAACAACAATGTCTGTAGGCTAGGTTGAAATGATCTGCTGGATAGCTGTTTCGTTCGTTTGCGCCTGAGTTCACCAACGATACATTCAGATTGGCTGAGCTCAGAAAGTAGAATCTATTTAGAAACACCCACTTGAACAAACTGGGCAAATGTGCAGAATCAAATTATTCAGTTAAAAATTACGCAGTCCAAGTTAAGAATTCACCACGCTTTCATTCAGAAATCAAAATTTTACTTAGATTCATACATAAACAATAAACATCTAAATATACTTTGGGAGTAAACCAAATGTATGCCGTTTCATACATTTAAGTGCAGGAAACATGAATAAGCAATCAAACCAAAGTAAAATGATGATTAAAAATATTTTTGTAGTGTGTAAGGTTAACCAAGATAGGAGTGTTATGCAACCTATATATATATATATATATATATATATATATATAGTGTACGACTTTTCTCGTATAACTAATAAAAATCTGTAAAAACACAATTAACGTATTCGTATCAAAAATGTTGGTATACATATAAGATACATTTAAGTTGTGGGAACTAAGCCTTCTGTAAACGCGATTATAACTATTTTTTTTAATATTCTTATTTAATAATTGACTACCCTTGGTAAGTAAGCATTCAGTCATTTTGTTTACAGTTACATGTAAATTACAAATAGACTAGATTATGTCTATTTTTTCCGAAATTCACACAACCCATCTGATAAACACAGATACCATTTAGTAGTATATGCTCCATATAAAGTGATTACTTAGCACAAACATCATTTGTAAATTTAAGTTAACTCCATCAAAATATAAATCTAATTTACCATTAAGAGTATCACAATATCGAGGTTCACTTTATCAGAAGCTGACTGACACCCGCAAATGGTATAAGAATAGAACTTGTGCACTGATGTAGAGCACAATTCCATTGCGCGTAAAATTTTATTTTGTTTATATAATTATAAATATTATATAAACGAAGGTAGAAAGTTGTGTGAGTACCTTGATATGATTATGAGCAATAAATTGTGCTCGAAATGTCATCAATAAATATTACTGTTTAACACTGTGAGACTTTATCAAAATAAAATTTTACCCACAATGGAATCAGAAAATGGAGCTATCCACGCAATACAGAAACAACTACTTCATCCAAATACTGTAGAGACTAGGCTGACAATGGATATTTTATGACTACCTTTCTCAATATATATTTTGGGGTGTAGACTGTTGCAAAGACATTAAAATTATTGTAACTAAATTTTACTCTGCCTATAATAATAAGAAATCTGAGCGGTGAAGATCAGTAACATGGAAAAACATAAGAGTTTCATGGATCTAGGAGATCACAAAGAGTGAATGCATTTATGCCATGGAGGACAGTGTTATGAGCCACACCACCAACAGTCTCAAGCCATCGGTTCGTAACATCCTGACAGTTGATTTGAACCAAGTATAAAGGTGCAGATTCTTTGGTTGTTGTCCTTGAGATGCTATAAACTAGTGCCTGGAGACTATTGGTGATATGATCCAAAACTGTTCACAATGGCACAGATACATTTACTCTTTGTAATGCCCTAGATCCGTTGAACCCTTCTGCTTTTCTATCTTACCATTGTTTCTCCATACATTTTCGCTCACTACAATTTTTTTCAGTTTCCTTTTTCCTTTCTTTGTCCTACCTTTGTGTTTGCTCCATGAAGTGTGGTGAGTTGAACTGCTTCACTTCTGTACAAAGTTCTATGTTGAAACTCTGTCAGTCATCCAAAATGTAGGTGCACATAGAGGTCATCCTAGGAACTATACTAGACATTATCATCAAACATTTCACTGGTGCAAGTACTGCTAAACAGGAAAGATAACACGGTAAGTATATAATCAGTCAGATGCCAATATTATAACTAGGCCATTTATTTTCTAGCCGTATGATCAAAATATGACTTTATGATGGCAGGCAGATGTTAATGCCATCATGACAACGTACTGTTATTTTAACTATCCTATTATTCCGCCTACTTCCACCCAATTGTGTAGTCGGTTTTAGCAATTTCACTACTCAATTTATTATCCTTATATTTCAACGTATAAATTATGCATTACGTAACCACTTGTTTTAATTTCATTCGTATAAATATATATATATATATATGATATGATTATGATTTATCAAAATAAAATCTTATTCATAATGGAGTTATACTCTACCACAGTGCCCAAGTTTTATACTTATATCAGTATATTTCACTCAATCCTACTGAATTTGTGTAGGATATCTACATAAAGAGACTTTCATAAATAAACTTTTCTGAGGCATAATTCAATATAATTTTATTATAACTTCACACATGCCTATTTCTCTAGTTGATAAAACCTCACCACTATATGTATATACTGTCTACTGAAATGTATAACATTTCTGCTACAATCAAAAGCATCCGGTTTCTGTGATGTTGAGAAAGAGATTTAATCGTGGAAACATTGAATTACATACACTTGAAGATATATAAACACATTAACGGTGGTTATATGCTTCCTTCTATCAAAATGATAAATTGTGTAAACTATACAGGTAACTATTAGCAACTAATATAACACTTAAATGCATATATCGATTGCTTT